TGTAACAAAACGAAAATAAACCTATATGCCTTCCTTCTATACAGCCTATTATTATTAGGATTGTTTTTTGTGTGTTTGTTTTAAAACGCCTAGATCGGCTGGACAAAAGTTAACCCATAGCTTTGAAAGTAAAGAAGAATATACAACCTGTATAAACGAGAGCTTTTGTTAGGATTTTTCATTATTTGGCAGTTTTAGCAGTTATATTTTTTGTAGCGTGTGGTGTGGTCAGGTGCGCGATTGTGACTGTCACTATAGACCTAGGACAGAGCTCCTCACTTTGCAGTTAAAAAATCACTTAATTTTCAAAGAATTATATTATTATTATAGTTTTATGTATTATTGATGTTTCTTCGTTCTTTTTTTATAAATGCTCTATGACAATTGTTTAATAAATGTTCAATCAAAATGCAAAACATCGCATCTTTTTTATTTTTTTCTTCTTTTTTTAGTCGACTGATCGTTGTGCAGGACAGGACTTTGGCGACTAAGGATTTCTTTGGTTGACTACAGCCCTACTTCGTGCCTTAGGCCCCATCCACACTACTGCGTTTTAGTTTAGAAACGGATAATTAAAACGAATACGATCTTCGTCCACACCAGCGTTTTAGCTACGTATTAGAATTGATCTCCGTCCACATTAAAACGACTGAAAACGCGGATCACGTGCCCTTTCACCAACACTGGGCATGCGCGCGCCGGTGTAAACACAACTTCATTGAAAAAATTATCCCACCATGCTCTGGGTTAACCCCAAACCGACGCTCCATGTACGGTCAACGCTGCCGTGAATTTTCACAGATTGCTCGAATAATAGCTTGACTCCGGCGCATGTAGGCAGTTATAGCGTTGTAAAATGCAGAATTTACTTGTACAACAGCTGCTAGCAAAGATATACGCCATGACCGATGACACCCAATCATAGAGCCGAGCGTGAGCCTCTACTACGTCATCGTTTCTAAAGTTCTCCGTTTTGACCCGTCAACACTAAAACGCCCTCCGGAGATTCAAAACGAAAAACGGGTCGGCAGCGTTTCTAAACTTCTCCGTTTTGGGTCTCCGTTTTTGCCGTTTTAGTGTGGACGGGAGGTGCAAACGTAGCAAAAGGTCTCCGTTTTTAAACGAAAACGCAGTAGTGTGGACGGGGCCTTAGTGATGTGGAAAAAACCTTGGTTTCTTTCCCAAGAACCTGTGCTGGCTGGGAGCTCCTTGTCATCGCGTTACGCTAACGACTGATGCATCCGGGGGTTGGGGGGATTATGAGTGGTCACTCAGCTCAAGGTCTGTGGTGGGACCATAATCTCTCGTGGCACATAAATTGCCTGGAAATGCTGGTCGTGTTTCAGGCTCTGAAACACTTCCTCCTAGACCTAAGAGGCCATCATGTCTGAGCGAACAAGCACAACACATCGGTGGTCTCTTATATAAACCATCAGGGGTGTCTGCGGTTGCGCCTATATAAGCTGGCTTATCAGATCCTCCTGTGGGCCCAAGGGAAGCTGCTCTCTCTAAATGAAGATCTCTCTCTAGATCTGTTTCGCGTGTCTAGAGACGACTTATTGTCCACTGTGGTTCTCCCTAACTCATCCAGCTCCTCTCGGAGTGATTGCTATGGTTCAGATATGGCCGAGGCTATGTCTGTACGCCTTTCCCCTGATGTTGCTCCCAGGTGTTCAGGAGATTGTTTGCTGGGACGGTGCCCATCTTCTGCTAGTATGGGATTTGGCCATAGTATTGGAAGGCCTTTCCTTCGCTCCCTTTGAGCCTATTGAGGAAGTTTCTGAAAAGTGTCTCACGTTTTTATCCTCTTTATCCAGACTTGCAAGCCCTCTTGGGTTGGAATTTGCGCCTGGTATGGTGAAGGCTTTTCTTCACCCTAGACCGGGTTATGTTCCTAAGGTTCCTAATAACACTGTAAGACCTATTGTGCTGCAGGCCTTTTGTCCTTCTCCTTTCTGGACGTCTGACCAGGAATCAACAGAATCTGCTCTGCACAGTTAGGGCACTAGATGCCTACGTCCACAAAGCTGCCCTGTAGAGGAAATCTGAACAGTTGTTCATGTGCTTTGGGTCACCCAGGAAAGGGTGCCCGGAATCTAAGGAGAGAATGAGCAAGTGGGTGGTCGAGGCTATCTCACTTGCTTATGAGTCGGCCGGGCCAGCCTTCTCCTTTGGCTGTCCTGGCGCACTCCACTAGGAGTATGGCTGCTTCCAAAGCATTACTGCCAGGAGTCTCCCTCCAGGATGTTTGTGATGCGGCAGGCTGGTCCTCACCGCACACATTTGTGAGGTTCTACGACCTTGACCTGGGCTCCACTTCCAGGGCACAGGTGCTTTCGTCTTAGCGTGCGCATACGATTTTCACACGGACGGGCACTTGCTTATACAGCGGCATGGGTATAGCGTTCCCACAGCGTTTTGACGTTGTGCGAGTTCCCTTGAAAGGGAACATCTCGGTTACCTATGTATCCATGGTTCCCTGTTCAGATTAGCTCAAGAACAGCTGCATCCAAGCCTTAAATCACCAAGTACAATGCAAAGCGTCGGATACCGTGGTGTAAAGCACGCCGCCACTGGACTCTAGACGTGTTCTCTGGAGTGATGAATTATGCTTCTCTGTCTGGCAATTCTATGGGCTTGCCTGACTGCATTGTGCCAAGTGTAAAGTTTGGTGGAGGGGGGATGGTGGTGTGGGATTGTTTTTCAGGGGTTGGGCTTGGCCCCTTAGTTCCAGTAAAAGGAACTCTTAATCCTTCAGCATACCAAGACATTTTGGACAATTTCATGCTCCCAACTTTGTGGGAACAGTTTGGGAATGGCCCCTTCCTGTTCCAACATGAATATGTTCCATATTACCATAAATCCATAATCCAAATGACCATAAACACACTCGTAAACCTTGTGGAAAGCCTTCCCAGAAGAGTTGAAGCTGTTATAGCTGCAAAAAGTGGGGAAACTCCATATTAAGCCCTGCAGATTAAGAATCAGATATCATTAAAGTTCATGTGCATGTAAAGGCACACGTCCCAAAACTTCTGGCAATATAGTGTATGTAAAGCTTATAAAGTTTAAAAATGCACGGATGACTGCAAAAAATTGATTGTTGGAGAAAAAAGTGATCTCAAAGATTGAAGGGTATACATTACATATAAACACACACAATATAGTCTCATTCTGAATGATGATCTTTATTGAACAGTCACATTTTGGTATTCATAAACATGGCAACAAGAAAAACAAAAATATTTACTGAACATGTCAGTTTGAGGCACATTCACACAGTGGGAACTTGATTTGGGTGCATGAGTCGCTTGACCTGTGCATGAGTCCAAAGTTGAACTATTGTTTTCTACAGAGTAAGATTGGTGTAAGGTGATCAAAAAGTTATAAATGTTTGGAGTCAATACTTTTTTTTGTTTCATTTTCATCCCTTCATAGATAGAAGATAGAACAGTCTTCCTCTGCCAAAAGAGTATTGCAAATTCTTGAGCTAAGTAAATGGCAGCTGCTTATCAGTCAAACACTCACTCACATCTCCAGCTGACACAGCACACTCAAGTCTAATCATTTCACACACTTAACAAAACATGCAGACACACACACACACACACACACATATATAATCAGAACTTCCAGAAAACACAAAACACACTCACTACAGTTCAAAAGTTTGGATGTAGTAATTAATATTAAGAAATTAATACTTTTATTTAGAAAGTATGCATTAAACTGAAAGTGATAGTTAAGACATTTATAATGTTACAAAATATTTCAAATAAATACTGTTCTTTTGAACTTACTATTTATCAAAGAATCCTGAAAAAAAATATGCATCACCGTTTCCACAAAAATATTAAGCAGCACAGCTTTTCAACATTGATAATAATGACAAATGTTTCTTGAGCACCAAATCAGCATATTAGAATGATTTCTGAAGGATCATGTGGCACTAAAGACGGGAGTAATGATACTAAAAATTCAGCTTTTCCAACACAGGAATAAATCACATTTAAAACTATTTCACATCAAATAAATGTAGCCTTGGTGAGCATAAGAGACTTCTTTCAGAAACATTAAAGAATCTTTTTGACCCCAAACTTTTGAACGGTAGTGTATGAGAATATAGTGTAGAATTGTTTATAGTGGGCGAAAAAAACATGATAAAATATTTTGTTTTGAGCAAAAGCTACATGTTGGCCACAGGTTTTAGGATACTGGCAGCTAAGAGTTTTCAGAAATGAAAATAAAATTGTGCATCGCTGTCTGTTGTGACTGGCTTCTATTTTTGGAGCTTAAGGAACAAGTAACAAGTTCAGATACAGTACAACACAAAATCTTAAGCATGCATCTGTGATCTTTTTCACAACCAGAGGGCCTCTAATAGGACAGTGCAAACCCTCAAGAACCTGGACATAGCTGTGTCCTGCAATGGATTTGTTTAGGAAATGTTTTAGACAAATCAATTCTACTTACTTATTGATGTTCTATCAGGAATCAACATCCACCATTACTACTGCAACACACATTCTCTAAAAACCAAACATAATGAAATGAGATCATCAAAATACCATGTTCAATGAGTAAGAAAGGTTAAAGGAGAACTGCGATCAGAGTAGAAAATGAAAAGACTGAGGGTAAAAGAGGTTTCAAGGCTAAGGTGGCATGTAGGTGCTTAAAGGACTGGTTGGCATATAACTCTTAAAGTAACTCCAGTTGGATAATGTAATGATAGGTAGTATACTGTACATGCAGTAGAAGTCCTCTGAGGCGCATGTCAAGGGTGAATAGAGGCTCAGCGTGCACATAGAAGTGCAAGTGGCCAAAGGGGAAATGATCTGTGTTAGAGAAGAAAATCCCCTTTTAGAAAGTTCAAAGGCTGAGGTGGCATGTACTGTAGATGCTTAAAGGATCAGACTCCATGTAGTACAAGTCTGACATAAGAAACGCGGGCGGTTTGACGGCCTCAGTGGAAACTGGGCAAGACATCCTTGTGTTTTAAAAAAAAAAGGTCACAAATGGTTTGAGGATAAACAGGGCTGGGGTCTAATTATCGAGCAGAAAAAGCACCAAGAACATATATGAAAGATTCACAGTGGGATTCAAGTTTTTGGAAAAGTAGCTTTTACTCTTTTTTAATTTTTAGTCTTGATATGCCATCTATTTTTTTTTTTTGCCTTGAATCTGTTTTTTGTCTTACTCTGTTTTCTGTTTTTTTTTTTTTTTTTTTTCTGTTGTACAATAATGTATTTTTGATTTATTTCTATTATTTTAGAATCCTCAGTTAATCAAGCACAGAATTGTCTAGCATAAGCTGGGGTTCTGGGAAGCCCCCAAGGGGTTTGAGCGCCATATGGACATACTGTATATGGAGGATTGTGGGGGCCATTTTTCTTGGGGTTCTTCTGTATCTGGTTCTGTAACATACCATTTTTAGGGGTCTGATTTGTTCAGGAGGGCTTCAGATTTCTTGTTAGAGCCTATGCACAGTTGGGTCTGTGTGTGAGTTAGCGGCCAACGCTGATGTTGCAGGTCTTGCAGCTGGGGTCTTTCTTGGCGTTGATGGTTGACAAGCTCATCAACTGGTGGCCGCTGATCTGAGAGACAGTCCCCTGTGCCAGCGGCACTGGCTCAGTATAAATCAGCTCCAGAATCACATCCTGCGCATGCTGAAACACCACCCGCCCATCCTCCCCGCACACACGTGTCAGAAAGCGGTTGTTGGTCACATCCAGCTCTGGAAGGCGATCGCTGCAGTAAAGGTCTCCGCTCGAGCCCCGAGGAGCCAGGACAAGGATAACGTAATGATAGGCAGTATACATGCAGTAGAAGTCCCCGAAGTAGAGGCGCGTGTCAGGGGGGAACAGAACCTCGGCGGGCACCTGGAAGCGGACGCGGCCGTACGGGGAATCCTGCGGGGGCTGACCTGTGTTAAACTCTGTGTTGCAGCTGAAGACGATCCCCTCCAGTTTACCACTGAGAGGTGAACCGTGACTACCGCTGTTATCCTTTACTGAGGGCATCATTCGACTGCCAAGAACATCTCTGTGAGGGAAAGAGAGACAATTATCAATTTCTTGCTCACCAAGATTGTGAAATGTAATTTACTGATTTGGTGCTCAAGAAACATTTTTAATTATCAATGTTCTGCTGCTTAATATTTTTGTGGTAACCGTGTTTTTCAGATTTTTTTGATGAATAAGAAAGTTCAAAAGAACAGTATTTATTTGAAATAGAAATCTTTTGTAACATTGAAAATGTCTTTACTGTCACTTTTGATCAACTTCTGACCCCAAAAATGTTAATGGTGTAAGTGAAATGAAAAATGTGGTTCACAAAAACCTGAACATAAACCTGGCCAATTAATGAGGATATTATTCCACAAGAGGGAGCTGTTTGCTTCCTAACGACGAGCTCAATCTCAACAGCAAAGAAAGATTGTCATTGTCTTCCTCCACCAACATTACTTCATCTCTTTCCCCTCCCTCACTTATATCCTTAGATTTTTACTGAGGTACTTTTTCCTGAATCACCTGCAGTGTTGGAAGTATTCCTCATGCTGATTCCGGTAAAAGACAGAGAACTTGAGCATCCTGCCAGCAATGACTTCAGCCTTCTGCAACAGCTGCGTCAAATGCACAGAGGAATAATCTAGAAAAATGAAGGGAAATATTTTGATGTGTCATCAATTTCCACTATTCTTTTCAATTTGATCAATGTTATCTACCTAAAAAGCTGAGCAGTAGCTAGCATAACATTTTTTTTTCTTATTTTTTTTTCTCGTATAGTAAGTTATCTTGGTGTTAGGTATTCATTTCATTTTTATACTTTATTGTCTCGTTATTGTCAATATATAGCATTTGAATGATTTGAATTACCATTGTGTATTAAATGAACTATAGTCATGTGAAAAAGAAAGGACATCCTTTTGAATTTTATGGTTTTAAGTATCAGGACATAAAAGTCATTGGTCTTTAGCAGGTCTTAAAATGAATTACAACCTAAGATGAACAACACAATATGTGAACTGTGTCACTATTTATTTAACAAAAATAAAGACAAAATGGAGAATCCATGTGTACACCTTATGATTCAATTGCTTGTAGAACCACCTTTAGCAGCAATAACTTGAAGAAATAATTTTCTGTATGAATTTATAAGTCTCTCACATTGTTCTGGAGGAATTTGTGCCCACTCTTCTTTACAATGTTGCTTCAGTTCATTGAGGTTTGTGGGCACAGAATTTACATCGGGTTGAGGACTGGACTTTAACTGGGCCAGTGCAACACCTTGATTCTTTTCTTTTTCAGACATTCTGTTGTAGATTTGCAGGTGTTCTTGGGAACATTGTCCTGTTGCATGGCCCAATTTCAGCCAAGCTTTAGCTGTCGGACAGATGGCCACACATATGGCTCTAGAATACTTTGGTATACAGAGGAGTTCATGGTCGACTCAATGACTGCAAGGTCCCCAGGTCCTGTGGGTGCAAAACAAGCCCAAATCATCACCCCTCCATCATCGTGATGACAGTTGGTATGAGGTGTTTGTGGTGGTATGCTGGTTTTCACCAAACGTGATGCTGTGCATTATGGCCAAGCATCTTCACTCTGGTCTCATTTGTCCAAAGGACATTGTTCCAGAAGTCTTGTGGTTTGTTTAGATGCAACTTTGCAAACCTAAGCCGAGCTGCCATGTTCTTTTTAGAGAGAAGAAGCTTTCACCTAGCAACCCCTTCAATCAAGCCATACTTGTTTAGTCTTTTTCTAATTGTATTGCCATGAACTTTAACATTTAACATGTAAACTGAGGCCTGTAGAGTCTGAGGTGTAGGTCTTGGGTGTTTTTTAATTTCTCTGAGCATTGCACGGTCTGACCTTGAAGTGAATTTGCTTGGACGTCCACTCCTGGGAAGAATGGCAACTGTCTTGAATGTTTTCCACTTGTGAATAATGTTTCTCACTGTAGAATGATGAACTTAAAATTGTTTGGAAATGGCCGTATAACCCTTCCCAGATTGATGGCAGCAACAATTGCTTCTCTGAGATCACTGCTGATGTCTTTCCTTCCTGGCATTGTGTTAACACACACCTGAATGCTCCAGACAAGCAAACTGACAAAAGTTCTGCTTTTATAGAGTTGGTCACACTTGCTGATGATCAATTAATCAAAGACATTTGATTAGCAGCACCTGACTGCTACTTACCTTCTTCTACATTCAGTAATTGGACAATAAACTTTGTGAACTGCGGGGTGCACATCTCCTATCAACGAGAAACAAGGGACTGCTCCATTATCTCCCTCACAGAAGTTCCGGATTCAGCCATCGAGCTTACGGGGTTCTCCACCACGCGGATAGAACGAAAGACCTCACAGGGAAAAGCAGAGGAGGAGGCGTTTGTTTCTTTAATAACAACTCGTGGTGTGATGAGAGGAACCTACACTCTTAGATCCTTTTGCTCCCCAGATCTGGAATATCACACGCTTCTGTGTCGACCATTCTGGCTACCGAGGGAATTTGCAGCGGTCATAATCAAAGCTGTTTACATTCCCCCTCAAGCCAACACAGACCAGGCACTCAAGGAACTTTATGAGAAAGTAAGCGAGCAGGAAACCGCAAACCCAGATGCAGCGTTTATTGTAACGGAGGACTTTACTAAAGCAAACTTCAGAACAATAGCTCCAAAATACTTTCAGCACATCACCGTCAACACGCGTGGTGATCGTGAATTGGACCACTGCTACTCTCCTTTACGGGATATGCCTACAAATCCCTCTCCCGCCAACCTTTTGGGAAATCAGATCACACTCTTCCGTTCTGCTTCTGCCCGCGTACAGCCAGAGACTGAAACGGGAAGCACCCGCCCTCAGGACGATTCAATGCTGGTCGGACCAATCGGACTCTATACTACAGGACTGTTTTGAAAGCGTTGACTGGGAGAAGTTTCGGTCTGCTTCTGATGACGACATTGAGGCTTACTCCGTAAGGTGTTTCATCAGGAAGTTTCAATCCGCATCTACCCCAACCAAAAACCGTGGACAAACAGCGATGTCTGAACAGCCTTATCAGACTTCTGCCTTTAATTCCGGAAATGAAGATGATCGTAAACAAACCAGCTACGATTTCAGAAAAACCATCAAAGCCGCCAAATGACAATACAAGGTAAAAATTGAAGGACAATTCAACACCAACAACGTAAGAAGCATGTGGCAGGGCATTAATAACATCACAGACCTTAAAGGGAATAAACCCACCACTGTAAACATTGCTGCCTCTCTGCCGGATGAGCTGAACAAGTTTTATGCTCGTTTTGAGGCTCACAACATCGCCCACACAGAGTGAACTTCTGCGCCTGTCACAGAGGAGGTCAGTGCACTCTCTGTCTCCGTCTTTTTTTCTTTTTTTTCCATTTATTTATTTTTGGACAGGGACAATGTAAAATATACATTAACCTTAGAAAGGAGAGATGCATTTCACCAGGTTGTAGCACTTGTGCTAATTTCCAACTGTAGTCCACCTGCGGATGTAACCTGATCCTTCCAGCGGGTGAATATCCGCAAGGCTGTGGGTCCGGATGGTATTCCAGGCCGTGTACTCGGGGCATGCACGGACCAACTAGCCGGGGTTTTCCCAGACATCTTCAACCTCTCCCTCTCTCTGTCTGTGGTTCCCTCATGCTTCAACAAATCCACAATTGTGCCCATTCCAAAGAAAACTAAAATCAAATGCTTGAATGACTGGCGACCTGTTGCTCTAACATCCATCTTCAGCAAGTGTTTTGAGAGGCTCATCAGAGACTACATCTGCTCTGTGTTGCCCACCTCACTGGATTCACTACAATTTGCATACCATAGCAACCGTTCCACTGATGATGCTATTGCTTTTTGCCTTCACACTGCTCTCTCCCACCTGTAAAATAAGAACACTTATGTGAGAATGCTGTTTGTGGACTACAGTTCGGCATTTAATACCATAGTGCCTGCAAAACTCATCACGAAGCTCCAGGCGCTGGGCCTAAACGGATCTCTGTGCAGCTGGATCCTGGACTTCCTGTCAGGCAGACGTCAGGTGGTCAGAATCGGCAATAATATCTCATCCCCGCTGACCCTCAACACTGGTGCTCCTCAGGGCTGCATTCTCAGTCCACTCCTGTACTGCCTGTACACACACGATTGTGCAGCTACACACAGCTCCAACGTCATCGTCAAATTCGCTGATGACACAACGGTGGTAGGCCTGATCACTGACAATGATAAGACGGCCTACTGAGAGGAGGTGTGCACTCTGATAAAATGGTGTCAGGAGAACCACCTCTCACTCAATATCGACAAGACCAAGACCGCTTTAAGTTCCTCGGTGTCCACATCACTGAGGATCTCACATGGTCTGCTCACACAGATGCAGTGCTTAAGAAGGAACATTAGCCCCTCTTCTTCCTCAGGTGCCTGAGGAAGTTTGGAATGAGCTCCAACATCCTCAAAACATTCTACACCTGTACTGTGGAGAACATCCTGACTGGCTGCATCAATGCCTGGTTTGGAAACAGCACTGCCGGCAACCGCAAAGCTCTGCAGAGGGCCGTGCGAACTGCCAGCCACGTTGTAGGAGGTGAGCTTCCATCCCTCCAGGACATCTTAAGTAAGTTAAGTATGTCAGTTGTATACTATGTATATTAAGCATATACTGTACATTGTCATCTGTATATTGTCCAAATGTAAAAATTGTAAATTGTATTTGTATATTGTCTTCTATGTTAAATTGTATTCTGCACTGTATGGAGCACGCTCTTAAGAATTTCACTCACTACGGCACATGTGCTGTTAGTGATGTGACAATAAAGTGATTCTGAATTCCTATTGAAGCAGTAAGGGTGTACTTAGTTTTGTCACATATGGCTTCCCAAACTTTGCCCAAGTAGTTTTTGTTAAATAAATAATGACACAGTGTAATATGTCATGTGTTGTTGTTCATCTGAGGTTGTATTTACCTAATTTTAAGACCTGCCAAGGACCAGATGATTTTTTATTATGTCCTGATACGTAAAAACATAGAATTCAATAGGGTGCCCTTTCTTTTTCACATGACTGTATATAAACAAACTAGCCTTGTATTACGTTGTCTTTAATATGTAAGTGTGTGCTTGGCTGATTAACCTGCTGTACAAAACTCGACTATGTCACTCCATTCTGATACGGCATAGTCTCCGTCGGTCTGTTTGGAAGCTGTTTGCACGGCAACAGTGTATTCAGTCCGTGGACTCAGGAACCAATGGCCTCGCACTGTCATGGGCAATAGGACTGCCTTAGCAACAAGCTTTGTAGGCACATCCTAAAGACAGAGAGCAAAAGTCAACAAGGAAAGAATTTAATATTTAGTAGTATTTAGTTAATTTTATATTTTTTAGTTATGACACCAATTGATGCTAAAACCCTCTCATGAATAAAGCAAGTCTACTTAATACTCAAATACTCAAACTAGGCTCTGTTGAGAAATGTTAATGAATGTAAATAATTTGTGTTGTGAACTGAATCACTGAGTACCTTGTGTTTGAATTTGTTAGAGTTCTTGTTCTCCTTCTTGTTAAGGTCAATGAAGTAATGTGTGATCTTCTCTTTGGTGTGGGGATCCATATCCCAGCAGATCTTAAAGGAGTCACAGGTGATGTTACTAATCTTGATGTTGCGAGCAACAGGTAACTCCTCCATTCCTACCACTCCAGTGTCTTCAGCTTTACCTGACAGAAAGAAAGGATATTGTCTGAAATCAAATATTTAGTGTTTCTCTATAAATACAAAAATACTGTTACACACATTACTACCCTTCAACCCACAAACACAATCACACACACAGTGAGAAATGTGCTGTGTTGCACTGGCATGGCTACAGTGTGGGCGCTGTCTTATCGTAGAGTCCAGAGATGCACAACAGGCATGTGGAATTCCAGAATGACACACACACACACACTAAACAAAGCACAGTGAAGATTGATAAAGCTTCATGACAAAGCTTCACTGTACAATAAGCACCCTCAGTTTGTTAACGCTGAAACCTTTCTCTTCTAAACTGATTTCATTACTACTGCTGACATATTCCTGTGGAAAGATATTACTCTAATATGAACTTAAAGAGTATAATCATCACAAATTATCCTGTTTATTGCAGGATTCATAGGCAGATGCTCTTTCACTAAATAATTAGTGAACACTAACTTAAAAAAAAAAAGACAAAGTGTATCACAAGCAGCACAACTGATTTTTTTAATCATTATTAATAATAAATGTTTCTTGAGCATCAAATCAACATATAATGATTTCTGAAGGATCACGTGACACTAAAGTAATGGCTGCTGAAAATTCTATTTTTTAAAATAATATTTCACAATATTGCTGCTTTTACTGTTTATTTTAATCAAATAAATACAGCCTTGGTGAGCATAAGAGATTATCTTAGAAAAGAATAAAATAATATCTTACCGACCTCAAACTTTTGATTGGTAGTATTTATTTCATGCACCTCTGCTTATGTTATGAAAATGACCACAGCACTCTTCTGTTTTATTTACCACAGCACAATCATATATAAAAGCCTGTTTCTGTCTTTGAGAAAAAATTTGAAAAGGTAACTGTGAGATGAAATCTAAAATAAGAAATTCAAAGTTGTGAGAAATAGTCACATTGTAAGATATAAATTTGCCATTACAAAAAACAGTTCAAAATAAGCAATAAAGTCAAAATTGTGAGAAATAAAGCCAAGATTTGGAGATATAAAGTCACATTGTGAGATAAAAGGACATTTGTGAGATAAGTTGCAATTAAAGAAAATAAAGTCACAATTATAATAATAAATAAAAGTTGCATCTCAAAGCGGTTTACAAGAAAAAGAATAAAAATACAGAGTGAAATCAAGCTATAAAATAACATTTCAGAATAATAACAATATAATCACATAAAAGGAACCCTAATAAATAAGTTTAAGAGAAGATGTAAAGACACCAAAGGATTCTGCATGTCTAATCTCAGAGGGAAGACAGTTCTATAATAGATTTGGAGCAAAAAAAGAAAAGAAGTTTTCCATAGAAGTTTTGTTAAAGTTGCACTATAAAGCAAAAGAAAGAAAGGGTCTTCCAAGGAGATAAATGCACAAATAAAACAGTGTAAAGTCTTGAAAATACTGGCACTCACAACATTCACCTCAGTTATAGATATGTTCCTCCAAACCTTGCCTCTGCCAACACAAACAGCACGTGTGTGTTCATCAGACATCTTCCCACATCTTGCAGAATCTGCTTTCCTTCACGCTTTAAGAAACTGGTTCGATGTACCATATGTTCAGCATAAACAGACTAAAATACTATAGAATTTTCAGCGAATGTTAATGTAATCTTTTTGAAGCTTTAGTCAAACAGTGGTTAAAATAACTAAAAAAAAATCATTTTACTTAGTTTGTACCTAAAAACAAGTATAAGACCAGCAGAATACATCTCTCTAGAGTGCCAGCTTCGAAACACACCCACAGGTCTTTCAACATGCTTTAACAAAGACTGCAGTTTCCATGGAAACAAATCAAGGCCATTAATCAATGTATCATAATTTAAAGAGGAAGATGGGCAGAAGCTTTACATGCACAGTGATCAACACTCACGTTGTAAGATCGTAAACAAAAGTCAGATCAGGAAAAGAGACTGTACCGTGTTGCTGGGAGAGAAATTATTGTCATAGTTTCTTGCAGTTATATAAATAAACAGACATATATTGTTCAAATGGAAAGATTTTAGTTTTCTTTTAGAAAGATATCAGATTCTTCCCCCGAAAAGCTTATAGATAAAACATTTTATCATGCACTACCATTAAACATGTAGAGTAAGAAAAATACTTTTATTCAGCAAAAAAAAAAAAATCTGATCACAAATTTCAAACAGAAGTGTATATATACAGACAACAAAGTGAAACTCCAAAACATGTAGGAGAGTCTCTTCTGAATCATGAGAGAGGGTTAGGGGGTTAGAGGAAGGAAAAACCTGGAGCATCTGGTTCTATATCTGACTCTAATAAGGGCTAAAAGCCTCCTCTGGTACCATAATCTATTTAAAGCCATCCACACAAAAAAATAACCTACTAAAACATTAGAAATATCAAATAAATCCAAGTATCACCAAACCACATAAATATCTCCTTCACAAACACCTAAATACCCAAGAATATCCATCAGGAGAGCAGCTTATGTGAGCAGCTTACCAGAAAACTGCAGTATTACATAAAACAAAACAGAAACATCCTAACTGTACAGACTGCAAATCTAACAAAAACCACACACTCACAATTCCAAAACTACAGTGAGGTCTTAAAGGGATAGTTCACCCAAAAATGTATGTCATGAATTACTCACCCTCATGTCGTTCTAAAGCCCTAAGACACATTACATATCACACACATATAGGTTCACCTTCGGAATACAAATGATATGTAATGTAATATAACAAATGTTATTACCACTTTCAAGGCCCAGAAAGGTAGTAAGACATCATTCAAATAGTCCATGGTGTGACTACAGTGGTTCAGCCTTAATGTTATGAAGCGACGAGAATACTTTTTGTGCGCAAGAAACTAAACAAAAATAACGACTTTATTCAACAATTTCTTCTCTTCCGTGTCAGACTGATGCGGTTTACGTGAGCACCACGACGCATGCGTGAAGCCAAAGCCAATACTGTGGCCAATACTGAGCCGGCGTTCTGACGTACAACCCGGAAGCGCTGCACTGTGTTTACAACGTGAACAGAATCTATGGGGGGTTAGAAAGCTCTCGGATTTCATCAAAAATATCTTAATTTGTATTCCGCAGATGAACGGAGGTCTTACGGGGTTGGAACGACATGAGGGTGAGTAATTAAAGACAGAATTTTCATTTTTGGGTGAATTAACCCTTTAATGTGGGAAAAAAGCACTGCAACATGTGACTGCAAAAGAGTAGTGGTCCTTGTGAATGAAAACAAGGCTTGTCTCCTGTATGAGCTTCAATGCAGAGCGAGATCACAGCTTCAAGCTGCAAACGTCTCTGTACTGTGGCAGAATGCTTATCAGGGTTTAGAGTTTGTTGAATGAACTCTGGACCCACTCCAAAATGCAAGTTGAACTGCATATCAATACACACAAACATTAATACACAGATTTGCCAATTGCAGTACAACAAGCTTATGCTTATACATATATAGGTCTGGGTAGATTAGATGGTAAGCAAACAATCAGTTCACATAATTGACGTGTTGGATGTAGGACAAATGGGCGGGAATAAAGATCTGAGTGATCTTGACAAGGGCCAAATGGTTATGGCAAGGCAACTGGGTCAGAGCATCTCTGAAACGGCAATGCTTGTGGGTTGCTCTCGGTTAGCAGTGGTGAGAATTTACTAACAGTGGCATGAGGGCCGGACAAACCACAAACCAGTGACAGGGTATTGGCCAGGCCGCCCAAGGCTCGTTGAACAACGTTGTTCCCTGGTGAAAGTAGCCTCATTCAGCAGGATAATGCACCCTGTCAAACTGCACACATTGTTCAGGAATGGTTTGAGGAACATGATGAAGAGTTCAAAGTGTTGTTCTGGCCTTCAAATTCCCCAGATCTCAATCCAGTTGAGTATCTGATGTGCTGAACCAACAAGTTCGATCCACATATCCTATTAACAATGTTCTTGCTTCCATCATTTTTAATGATAAAATTAAAAATAAATAATAAATGCAATGAAAATACATTTAGCCAATCATTTGTCTAATTATCAATTTTATATTATATTTATATTATAATTATATTATTTTTTATCAAATTTTTTTTGTCTATATTCAATACACAGATTTAAAAAATATTTTTGAATATATACTCCTTTCCTATGCCAGGCTTTAGCGGGTTAATCAAGTCCAACTTTTACCATGTTTTATGGTATCTACTGCAAGAATGACAGAACCTCCCATCTAACTAATATGAACTAGCCTAGTTACTGATTATTAAAAACATTTATCTACACAAAATAACTGTAAATTTAACCTGAAAGGATAATATTATTACAAAGCAGACCATTCCAACGATTCACGCAAAAGCCTGGTGGTCAACGATTAAGGATGGTGTATGCTATTTTATTTATCTAGCAAGAGTAAAAAAAAAGTTCCAAATATGTGTGGGAAAATCTGCACGGAACATAATCTGTTTATCTCCGCCAGCAATAAAGACAACACATTTACTTTGCAATTAACTTTTGCTGAGATGAGCAGCAGAGCTCACAATGAGCGCTGAGGTAGTGTAGGCTGCTGTTTTCTAGTTTATGAGCCCACGGCTTCTCTAGGGTAGGGAAAATGAACTCAAGCAACATATCATAATTACAGCACTTAATCATACAGAATGAATTCTTTGCATTTGATTAGAGATGATTTCACAAGCAGTCTCCCTATTAATTAAGCTTGTAGGTCTGTAATTCCAAATCAATTAAAAACAAATGTCTTTCCTTAGCTGGGAAGGTGATGTTTCCTTTCCTTTTAAAGTGTTTTGTTCAGAGAGTTTAATGTTTGTTAATCCTCTCTTAATTTCACTCATTGCATTCATAGCCTAGCCCTCATTTTGCACATACAATGCATCATGTATACTTATTTCCATTGCTCAAGGGCACAGTGGTAAAAAAATGTTTTTTTTTAAAGTTCACCAGTCACCTAGCCTGGTTAAAACCAGACCATTCTCAGTTGTAACTGAGTTATGGTCTGGCAAAGCGTCATAGACAAATCATTTCCAGAGGGGCGTCACCAACGGACGTCGCGGATAGACCTAAACCCAATCAGAGCGATGAAAGAGATGACGTATGCAGAGCGGTGGAGAAACATCTCTGAGTGTTGTTCTTTGCTCGGTTTTTAACAAAAAGGAAACGTTCAAATCGCTTAAAACAGACGCGATAGCTGATTCGAACGAGTGATGTTCGACGGCGGCATCCATCTTTGTAATGTAGGCTACAAAATCTGCTTCAAAATCCCAGTGCTGTCATCATCGTGTAAAGCCCGCCCCAACGTTTCTGGTTGGTGCCTCGATTTCGACGGATTGGAAATGGGTTTGAATGAGCTCTTTGCCAGACTAACTTTCAGAGCAAATCTAAATTTGCCGGAAGTTGTCTGGGTTTTCCCAGGCTTCCAGTCACCTCTAACTGGGATCAAATCTACAACCGTTTCATTACAAATCCAGATCTGATTCCTTACTAGATAGGCTCACTTTACCATCTTAATCTTTATGTAATTTCTCTAAATATATTGTGTTACAAGCTGCTATTAGGAATTCCCAAGGGTGTTCAAAGTCCTGCATAGAACAGGTTCAGGTTTCTAGCTAATCTGATTAAGATATTTACACCAAGCACTCAGCTGATGGGTTAGCATTAGCCAGCACTAGCAGTTTCAAACATCATCTGAATGCATGTGTCAGCTAAAATCTTCTTTTGTAGCCTAATTTTCCACTTTCAAATATCCAAAACATTGTCTTGTAAAGATCTTAAATAAGGATGTTTAAGATCAGATGCAGCTGAGTTTGGTTAGGACATCTGTCTGGCCGATGTTTAAAGGGAATGTTTTCCTTCATGTCTGAGAAACTCACTCATGTTAACCAATTATAGAGTTCAGTTAGTTCCTCAAAAGTTAGTACCTTATGCACTCCCTCGGTTTGCTGCAATTAAAATGAAACAAGCGCTGATGTACGTGGTAAATCAAAGAGATAAGAGGCACTGTGCTGCCAGCACAGCACTCTATTCAGGCTAATTAATGCTGATTCAAATACATTCATGCAGGGAAGATAAAAACAGTGCCTCCCTCTCAAAAACCTGGTGAGTCATTGTGCTACCCTTGGCTTAGAAAAACTCTGCATTCTTCTGAAGGCTGCCAAATTTTGTATCTGCAGGTTGTTGCCTAGTCATTCTTAAAGATGATTGACATATTTTGAAATTTTCAAACACACGCTCACAATTGAAACACTGATGATTGTAACGCTTATGAAAAGACAAAGGTGCTTCCTTCAGTTAAAATGGATTTACATGTATAAGCTTGCAGTTCCACACAAACAAAATGAGATGGAGACATACAGGCAGGGATCAGTTGAAAAGCAAATATTGTCTCCACATGTAAGCCTTTATAACAAGCATATACCTTTGAAAGCCACAGCCGGTTCCTCCCAATGTGTGTCTTGCTCAGTGTGTGTGTGTGTGTGGATGTGTGCAAGCACATGACTTAACCTTCAGCCATTAAGTCTAAAACCATTAAGTCGAGTTCATGTGTTATTTGGGTGTATGTACAAGACTGAAAAAATACACTGTTAAAACCCCTCACCCCCTGCAACATCAGCATATTTAAACGGTTTAGGGATTTATATATATATTTTTAATGATTTTTATTATTTTCTCTACATGTGTTTACAATACCTGTGTCTTGGTTTCAGCTTGACTCGCTGATAGTAAAACGAGATTAAAAGGGAAAAGGTAGCTGACTGTAAGAGGGTAGTGTCCATGGTGCTGAAATGAAACCCTCTCACAGACAGCAGAGATTTCACTCTGAGATACCACAGCCAGCACACACAAAGCCTTTTCAAGGATGTAACAGGATTTTCTACATCAGTGGACACACACACACACACACACACACACACACACACACACAAAAAACACGTCCCTTTAAAAATATTTGTTATCGGGGGAAACCGGCGTAGCTAAAACTGTCAAGTTCACGGTCACTCACTGTGTGTTCCAGCGGTTTCTTACCGTCTCTTTCGCACAGCTGGAGCGACTCCAGGCTCACGTTCTTGATCATTCCCTCACGCGGGCTGAGCGGGCTCGCGACCCCGTGTGCCAAACTCGCCGCCTCCATGTCTGCAGAGGCGTGTGGATTATCTGTGGAAATATTCTTTATCTTTGGCTCGAAAACCAAACAGGGTGAGTCTGGTGCTCTATCGCCTTGATTCCTCTTGGTTTCTTTTCTCTAGTGTTGAGGTGGAAAACGCGTCAGCGGGTCGTTAACACTGGACATAGATTGCAAGGACAGAAGCATATACGCTATTTCCTTCTAGTGACTCGATAAAATGAACTTAGTTCTCATCATCTCGAGAAATAGAAATGTATCTAAGTTCTCTCGATCTGACGAAAGCCACAAGTGTTTTCGGAATACTGAAATAATGTGTGGAATAACGGAGTTACGCGAATGAACTGAGTGACGGCGCATGCAATGAAGGGTTATGTAACGAAATTATAGTCTACACTAGCCTACCGTTATTTCACAATTTCAGCACACTCTATACCCGCTAGTACCGCTACACATTTGCTCCCGCCTCTGAGCGAAAAGACTCCTTATTCCTCCATCCATCTCACTGACGTCACTTCAAGCGCTCGAGCTCATGTCCTTATTTGGTACCGAATCGGCCCCTGCATGAACAGGGTGGGGATATCGATTCATCCCAGTGACTCGAATCTTTTGAAAGAGTTTACCAAAAAGATTCATTCGGATTCCCCAAATCGAAATGATGCTAGTATGTGGCGTGTTGTAAGTAAATCAATTCCTCAGGGGGGAAACACCGAGTCATTCACAATTGAAACTATACTAGCCTCACACTTTAATGATTCACACGCGATAAAAATAAGTTGGAGCATTAATGTTAAATACGTTGCCTATTATAGTAGCCTATTCCTGCAAGGAAGAAATTAAAATCGTGATTAGTTTTTGCAATCAGATTTAGATACAAATAGGTACAAAAATGTAACCTATGTTAATAAATTATTAAGTTTTTCCTCCAAACGTTAGCAAATGGAATAGCCCATCTCTTGTTGATGAACATTCAAGCAAGTGCAGTAGGCCTAAATAAAGCAAATGGCGCCCTCTGCTGTGTACATTACAACTCAAAATATCTTGACCAAAAAGCTGTCAATTAACAGGATTACATAAATGCACACTCACGTTTGCTACCATTGGTTTGTATTAAATTAGGAGGCTGTATGTGTTTCTATTCTTGGGTACACTAAAAATATACACCAACACAATATAGCAGAGCTGTTTTCCCCTTTCATGCATCAGTTCTTCTTTCTGTCTAGCTCAGGGTGGTTGATGTCCCATGACATTAAATTAGCTAGTTTTAAAATAAAGCCTGGAGGTTCAAAGCTTTGTTGCTTGTTAATTACTCACCGTTTTATTGTCGCGTTGCACTCTTTTACAGCATGCTGACAGCTTCACCCTCCCTGTTCTCTCTCTTTTACTTACACATGGTTCCTGCTGTTTTTCCAATTTACAGGCAGATGTACATTAATATGCAAACAGCATAAAACACACATAATTACCCATCCCTTTGCTCATACTTTCAAAAGAGAAGTGGCTGTCTCTGTGTCCTTTGTAATGTGTGATTTAAAAAAATATATTTTTAAGTGCCACTGTAGATTGCTAATGTCATCAACCCTCAACTTGGCCAGTTACTCTCATTTAATTTGCATTCAACAGACAATAGCTACACATTTATATAACTCTTTCACTCCCTCTCTTTCATTTGATTGCATACCTAAAGAAATTGTATAGCTTTACCTACTTAACTACTAAAGATTTATAATAAAATATAAAGCAAACTTGATTTGGCTTGCAAACATTTTTATTTTCTAGAACAAAACCACAAAGAACATTTCAAAAAAAGATTTTTTTTTGTTCTTTCGCTTTTGTTTTAAATCCTTTTTTCCCTGTTACTTTCAGAGAGAAATACTCTGGCAACACTTTAGGAGACACTGATTTGGATTTATAGAACATTCGTATAAGGCACAAACATGAACATGGTTCCCTTTGTCAAAGACTTAAACAAAATAAAATAAAAACAGTCCTCCTATTATGCTCCACTCCAGGAGGAAGGTAGCACAACCAAATAAACAGAACAACACAGTTGTTCTCTCAGAAGAAATAATAATAATAATAAAAAAAAATTAATGACACTGTTAAAACAGTGAAGTTGTTTCAGGTGACAAGTGGAAAATAACTGAATGAACATGATTTGTCAGATGCAAAAAATAAAAACAAATCACAAACCCTGCTCAGTAACCATATACACTGGTTCCACTATGGTATACATTTAATCTCTACAAGTCATATGCAGACATTTTTTGCATATGAATCTTATGAGATTTTCACTTTGGATCTACAATCAAGCAATTAATAATATAACTGAGCAATAATACAAGAGTACCACAAGTGGTTTGTGCAATATTTCAGAGACTGTCATTATTTTCCTTCCATAAAACAAAAACTAAAGCATATAAAACAGATTAGCATGGTTTCTTAGAAAGTATTTAACAACAGATTATTTCAAAAAGCTCTTTCTATGCGCTATACATTCATCGTTGTAGGCTGTACCCTAAATGTACTACAGACCTCATATAAATGTAAACAAAGAAAAAAAAATGGGTAACATTGATCTCCTGTGAATACTTCTATTGATATATACAATCTGGCTGAAAAATAACAAAACAAAAACTTTGACAAATGAAAAAAAGTAATATTTGGTCAAGGATTTGAATAACCAAATTTACCAACAGTAACCCTTGAGTTTTATTTATGGCTTTGAGCTAAAGGACAAGCACACGCACGCACACACACACACACACACACACACAAACCTGACAAAACACCTGTCAGATAGACATATGTTTTCCACATACAAAGGAAACTAATTCCATTATACATGCAAACAACTTCAACAAAGTACCTAATGCAGCTTAAATTTGATGTTTGTGCAACAAGTACATGCAAATAATAATTAAACAGATATTCCAAAACAAATCACCGGAATTTTATGGCATTCTGTTATTCTACGGAAAACCAGAGACTTCATTTACACCAAAATAATGACTGACATCTGTTTGAGATGACTATGAGGCGTTCTGATTAATCAGACTACAGACTAAACAATAAACAGTCAAAATAAAAAAAGTAAACTGAAAATGCCTTTTAAAAAGATTAACATAAAATATGAAAACATAAAGAAACTATCAAATAAAATGTATTAAAATACAACAATACCACAATGACCAATGTATAATTAAACACTGAACATGAATATAACAGTCTGGTAAACAACATAAGCATCAGCTGGTTGTGATGATCTTTGTGTGTGATCTGGAATTACCTGCTAAATAAGTGCACGTGTTTGGCTTTGACACTGGACAGTCCGACGTTACAAAAGACAAGACGTTGCATACAACCTACCGGCAAAAACAGCAGAGTTTACAGATTAAAGTGCTAGACACCAATACCGAAGCGCTCTTGCTGACAGTATGGTTAGTTTTAAACTCTGTGCTCTGCCTGTTCTCCCAGAGTAAATGCAAGACCATATTAGTGGAACATTCTTAACAATATTGAATAAATTCCCTTCATATATTTTTAGGCACAGACAAAAATCAACCTTAATGGCATCCCAACACATTTTTTTTTTTTTTTAGATCTGCAAGAATCTGCATTACTTTTTGGCTTTCTATATCAACCAGAGTCCAGTATGAAGTGGTTTGTGGTCCAGAATCCTGCAGGTAAGAGATCACCAGCGACCACTGACACTTGCCATGTCTGAGTGGAATTGGCGCGACAGGCGACCGCTGGCCCCGCCTTCTAAGAAGGAGGAGCGAATGTTGGGCATGTCAAAAAGCTTCCTCCTGCTCTTATTCAGATCTGAGGAGACATTCAAATATGATCAGTAATCCATCAAGTAAACACAAACAAAACACATTAGGTAGCTACACTAGGACAGTCACTGACACACATTACACCAAGAAGTAAATGATTGACTTTCTTTTTTTAAGGGGACCTAAGATAATATAGGTAATATAAGTCTCAGGTGTCCCCAGAATGTGTCTGTGAAGTTTCAGCTCAAAATATCCCACAGATCGTTTATTACACCATGTTGAAAATGCCCGTTTTTGAGTGTATTAAAGTGAAAGCAGCGTGATATACAGTACCTACAGCTATATGCTGTTAATATGAATCAAACAACAAAAGAAAATCACTCACTGCTCTTGATTTGATTAACTTTAGTAGCTTTAATAAGAATACATTTCATACTTGAATGGTGCTGTTAAATGCTCTGGCGAGGAGATAAACATGGCGGACTGTGTACAGCTCACTCAGGGCGGGGTCTATGCTAATAGGGCGGAGTCTGTCAGGGTGGGGCCTAAGCATTTGTGATGTCATAAAAGCTACAATCTGCAAACGGCTTGTTCTGAGACACTGCTTATGATTTACCGGGATTAAAAAAAGAAGAGTGGGTGGATTTTTACCATTATAGGGTAGTTGTGTACACACACTGCCGACACACATTTATGTTCAAACACCATGTAAAAGTGGATTTTGCATAATGATTATTAACCTATTATTAATAGGTCCCCTTTAAATGTTTAATTATTACTTTAAAATGCTGTCTAGGTAGGTAGCTAACTATGTTTGGAGCAAAGATACTAAATAGGGTTCCAATTTCATATACACTATGAATCTATGACGTACATACATACATACATGTACAACATAAATCATATATGCATACACACACACACACACACACACACACATAAATACATACATATATATATATATATATATATATATATAACTCAGAAGAAAAGAAACGTCCCTTTTTCAGGATACTGTATGATAAAGATAATTTTGTATAATCCAAATAATGCCATAGTCCTGCTGCAGGGAGGCATGAAGACTGCAGATAAACTGCAATGTCCGTAATGTTAGACGCCCAACACCATGTCCTAATTACTGAAAGCAACAATGGATAAAACACCTCAGATCCTGAAAATAAATTAAAGTAAATAAGAACTGTGACCTCAATGTGAACAAACAAGTTTTTGTTTTCGGTCACACAGCATGTATTTTTAATAAATTAATTACATTTGATTATTTGATACATTTGATTATGTATTTATCCTCTGTGCTTGCAGAGAGAGCCTGCCAACAAGCTCTTCTGATTGGCTGTGGCCCCCAGACATATTTGAGAAGTTACAAGTGCCTTGGTGGAAGAGTGGAGTAACATCTCACATTAAGAACGGGCAAATCTGGCTCAGTCCATGAGGATGTGATGCTCTGTAGAACTTAAAGCAGGTGACCACACCAGATACTAACTGCTGCTTTTGATATTACTTTTGATTTGATATTGCCCCCGCTCAGTTCAAGGACTCATTATTCAATTTCTGTTTATGATCATGTTTATGTCTCAGTTGTTGATCTGTTTATGTTCATACAAATATTTACACATTTTAAGAAATTTACTGGAAATAAAAGCAGTTGAAAGTGAGGACGGTTAATTTTTTGCTGAGTTTATTTATAATACAAACAGAATACACTATATTTTGTGTATGTGAATATTCATTCAGCAAATAAATTAAATTAAAATATTTTTTTTATCAGGTTATTGTGGTAAACAAGTCTGTTGTGTCATCCTATTCTTTCCACATCCTTTGATACTTGCAAAGATGGGCATTTTGACACATAAGTAGGCCTATGTGTATTTAACCGACTCAGTTCATTACTCGCGCGCTCTATGAGCAGAGGCTTCATGTGTGCGCGTCTCTCAGACAGTTTATCTTTATTTATTTATCTTGGTTTATCTTTTCCCCCCCCTTTTGATCTGTAGCTTAGACACAAACACAAAGTTGACTGACCTGAGATCGCCAGTATCATTTTCCTGCGAGCACCAAATGTTGTGATTCCCAGTTCCTTCAGGTCTGGATCCGTTAATGTAACAAATGTTTGCAGATCAATCTATCAGACAACAACACAGAGACATACACGTATAAATGTGCATTTACAAAAGGCAGAGACTACTGTATATCCACTAATCCACATTTGTTCATTATTTTTGCGTGCAAGGAGAACTTTTATTTCCAATTAGATTAAAAATGTTTAATGGAAGAAGTAAAGACAAATAATCAAGGCAACTTTTCTACACTGTTTCACTAAATAAACACAAAGTATAATTTACATTTAAATATTTGTTTTTACTAAAACATATTAATATAAATATTAATATAGTTTGAGTAATGATGCAAACACAAATTATAAAAAAAAATTGCATTGCAAACATTGGTATTTCCTTGTGTACATGCAAATCTAAAATGACCTCCTGCTGTTGGAAGATGTCTGTATATTTTCCGAGACCGAGTTTGCTGAAGAGCTCTGGGAGATCTGTTCCTTTGAGAGAGGAGCTGAGAGAGCAGCCATTACTGCCAGGCATAGAGATACTGTCCATATAATTACTGCTGCTGAGATACTGCTCACCTACTGACCCAAACACACAGATAAAGAGAAAGACAGAACAAGTGAGTAGGCAGTAAAGTTTAGAAGAAAGTTTAATGAGTACAAAATCTTTAGTCTTACAAGATTTGTTCTTGATTCTCTTTGGGCTGCTGATAGCAGGGGAAAATTCAGAATTTCCTGACAGTCCGTTCCCATTGACGTTAACATTCCCATTCAAATCCCCCCAATTATCGGATTTGGTGTCATTCCCCAAACCCTCCTGGCTCCCAGACAGTGACACAGAGAGATGAGGGTCCTGGAAAACACACAAAAAAGCAACTTTGAAAATAAATATTTATTTCAAATAAATTTTGAAGAGATCATTATCAAAAACCTTTAGTTTAGATGTAGCTTCATTTAAGCTGAACTGAATTGCGGCTGCATGTGACTGTGCACCGGTGAGTTTGTACCTCATACGTTGTGCTCATGCTGGGTTTATATGGCACATGGTGTGCCCTGCGCAGCTCTTTCATGCCCTCAGCTGGCATTGATTTAGAGAAGCCCAATCCACTCCAGGTATCTGTGGGTGTTCGAATCTCTGTCACAACAGGCTTCTTCAGCATGGCTATACAAAACAACACAACTGTTTATCAACAACCTAACCAGTGATCTGATATTCAGATGTTACTTATGTACATTTTCACATTAAGATGTTAAATTAAGAGATCAAGTCTTTGCTCACCTTTAGTGGCCAGTAGCTTCTTTTTCTCATAGTCATAAGCCTGAAAAACATTTAAACACAAGGACCGTGTAAATATTTTTAGTTTTTGTACACTTGTATATGAGTATAGTGTGTGTGTGTGTGTATAAACCTGCATATGTGGTCCAAGTCGTCTTTCTGCAGCTCTCTCACTTCCTGGTGCCCTTTTATCAGCCACTTGATTCTCACAATCAGAATCGGCCAACACACACTCAACACTGCACATGCAAACAAAATTTAAGCTGTACTTCATAGCTGCAGTGTAACCTTGTTCGATAAACTTTTTATATAAACAGAATTGTCATCATATTGCAAGGTCATTTTATGACTGAACATACTGGAGAAGTGAGTTTTTGGTTCTCTGCAGAAGTTCCATCGTATGCCGTTTCCCTGACGACACCGAGGCCAGCATCTGCTTCAGCTCACTCCCATTGGCTGAGTGAGACGGACTTCTGGGCATGCCCACTTCAACAAACGTATCTGAGCCTGATATAAACATACAGTACATACACACACAAATAGTGAATATTATAATGAATCAATACTGTACACAGTGAACCAAGGGTCCAAACAATGCTAAACAGACAGACAGATAGATAGACACATAGATAGACAGACATACAGTATAGATAGATAGACAGACACATAGATAGACAGACAGACATATAGATAGACAGATAGATAGATAAGATAGATAGACAGACAGATAGACACAGATAGATAGATAAGATAGATAGATACACAGACAGATAGATAAATAGATATATATAGAGATAGAGATAGAGATAGAGATAGAGATAGAGATAGAGATAGAGAGAGAGATAGAGAGATAGATAGATAGATAGATAGATAGATAGATAGATAGATAGATAGATAGATAGATAGATAGATAGATAGATAGATAGATAGATAGATAGATAGTGTTCTGTACCTTCATCTGTAGATTTATTGGAAATGGATTCTGATTGGGTGTGTCCAATGACTTCCTGGGCCGTGTCACAGTGGCCAGGGTTCAGTGATACAGAGGAGATTCGGCTATACACAGAATTTGCGAGCTGCAACAAAGCATCCAGCAAAAACATACACAAGAACCATAGTGAGTTTAAAACAAAACAGATGCACACATAATAACTTTAATAAAGAGAAGTTCCTCACATGTCCGTTGAGATGTTCTGCACTGGGTGGTTTGTGTATTGGTGCGAGTCCAGGTGGAGGGGACGGTGTGTGAGCGTGTGCTTGACTCTGGACCCCAGAGAGCAGAAGACCACTGAGAGTCGTCTGAGACACTGACTGCAACATCAGGTCTGTGGAAAACCCTGAGCAAGGGACAGTGAGAGAGGGTTATATAATAATCATAAATAATATATGAGGTTTACAAGAGCCTGCACTCACCTGATGTGTTAGTTGAACTAAGTGCACTGGCCCATAGTGAAGCAGTGTGACCCGGAGCATGTGAATGTGTGTGAGCAGATGTGTGTGAGTGGGTGTGAGCAGATGTATGAATGTGTTGCGTGTTGTTCACTGCTCCTTTCTGAATGCTCAACACAGAGCCGTGTCCATTAAGAACACAGTTTGGGTTTGGGGAACCATTAGAAATGGGACTGACAGACCTTAGAATACCAGCTGAAGAAATAGAGACAGAAGAAAGAGTGAAAAGTTAATATCAAAAGTATTGGCAATCACAATTTTTTAGTGCATAACGTTGTGTATACATTTACATTATTATTCATTTATTTATTTAGCTCCAATGCAACTTTCAACTGAGGGACAGCACAAGCAATTTCAGGAGACAACAATAGATCATTAGCATACTAGTTGGACCTGCCTGAAAAACAGCTTTTTAGCATGACTTAGCTAAAGAATCTAAATTCACAATACCATTGTTATCCGATTTTATTACTGATTTTATAAACAATCTTCAAACATTAGCATGTTGCTAAGCTAATAATTTGATACTCTAATGAGCACAAAAAACACAGACAAATGTTGGGTGAAATAGTACATTTTAAATTATAAAACAAACAAATAAATATATTCTTTATTTATTATAAATAAATAAATAAATTATATTCTTAAAAAAAAAAAAAAAAAAAAAAAATTATTGTATTATTTTCAACATTTACCACAACCCATTTGAGTTGTTAAATAATCTTTGATTATTTTTGTTGTAATATATATTCTGGCATTGTCTTTTCCATAAATTACACATGTGATGCTGCCTTGATTTGGTCAAAAAGAGATAAATTACAAGACAACATAGTTTAACCTACCATGTTATAAAAGTTATCAAGGTAGACAGCTTGCTAGGTTTTCAAACAAAGCTATTGTTACCAGCATGATTGTTAACTTAATTACTATTATCATACTGATCCTAAATGTAACTGTACTCTAAACATGCACAACTAAGTCAGAGTCTTGAGAACAACAGAGGGGACTGTTTTAAGTCACAAATAGTGTGTGAGTGAATGTGGAACACAGGCAAACACAAACACACACACACACACAGCTGTAGCTAATTATGGAGCTGTTTGGCAGCGTAAGTTGTAATCTGCGAACACAGACAGTAGTAATTATAGTGACTGCAAAGCTAAAGCAGGACTGTGTATGTTGTATTAATACAAACAGGCCTGGCTTAGAATACACATTCAAGGAATTACTTTTAGATCATAAATGTACCTTACACTGTGGTTAAGTAATTTATATATATATATACACACACACACACTAACTACATTACCCAGAGTTCTTAGCCTCAGTTCAGCTGAAGCTAGCGTGTCCAGTCCAATGGAGCCAATCAGGGGAGGGGAGGCTGGAGCATGTCCATTAACAGTGACATGGTTGAAAGAAGAGGGCACACTGCTGGACTCCAGCCCCAACAGGATCTTGCGCACCTCATACATACTCCCAGCATTCCTTTCCACGCTCTTCACTATCACAGACTGTGAGGAAAACGTATAGTCAGTGACAGAGTCTAAATGTACCACATATACACAAAAAAGCTGGGCTTTTGTCACCTTGCTGGGTTGTTTCGGTTTCGGTTTAATACTGATGAAGACATCTAGCTGCTCCATAAGTGTAGTGACGACCTGAGATGCCACCTCCATCTCCTCCTTAATATCAAACAGCAGCACCAACGGCAGACAACCCTAAAATATACATGAATTCAAACACGCATACAAATCAATTCGGAAAAATCACAACCTTTTACCTTATTAACTGATTCAGCCTAATTATATAATGGGTTTCCTTAAATTAATGTACTGGGTTAAACTCAACCTACATTTTTTTTATTAATTAATTTATTTTTAATTATTATAATTAATATAATATAATGTATTTATTTATAATTATTATTATTTTACCACAGTTTATAAAGGAAAAAAATCAAGGTTATGATGAGGCACGTACAATAGAAGTGAATATAACTTTACACAGAAATGGTTAGTAAGTGATTTTATCACAGTAAAATCATGTTAATATTCATTATTGTTCACATTTTGTGGCTGTACTATTAAGTGGAGTATTTTAACGTGTATGATTGGCCCCCATTCACTTCCATCATAACATAAGTACCTCACTGTATCCAAGAGAGACAAGTGGAACTGTGCACAACCTTTTTTTTTTTTTTTTAAGTTTAACTTTTTAAACCGGACCTTTCCTTTAAGATGGATTAGCAGTGTTGCTATTGTTACATAAAACTACAACTAAAACCATAAAAAATAATTTTTTTGTTAACTGAAAACTTGTTCTAACTGAAAAAATAAAATATAGATATTAACACTTAAAGCTGCAGTCCATAGTTTTTCCTCTTTGTCGCCATCTCTGTTCGAAATCTGCAATTGCAGTTATTCGCAGAATTATCAACTTTACGTGAGTATTACCTCGGCACGGCACAGCGCGGATGAATCCAATGTTTTGAGGAGAATGTGCGGCTGTCAGTCGCCGCGCCGGTGTGGAGACTGTCATTCGGAATCACTGATTCAACTTTTTGGAAGTATGACCAACATAAGAATTTTCACCGGAAATGTCATCTGAACAAGTAAGTAACATCCACTTTTGTTCTGACCAACTAAGGGAAAAAAAGCATTGCAGTAAATCGCGCTGATTAAATCTAACGATCGCTTATCATATCACGTCAAACTGTGCAAATTATACTTTGTTCTCAAATTGTTAACGTTAACAACATCAGCATTGCGTGACTACATTTAATGTGTATTTAGGGCTAGCCTGGGAAAACCCAGACAACTTCCGGCAAATTTAGATTTGCTCTGAAAGTTAGTCTGGCAAAGAGCTCATTCAAGCCCATTTCCAATCCGTCGAAATCGAGGCACCAATCTGAAATGTTTGGGCGGGCTTTACATGATGACGACAGCGCTGGGATTTTGAAGCAGATTTTGTAGCCTACATTACAAAGATGGATGCCGCCGTCGAACATCACTCGTTCGAATCAGCTATGGCGTCTGTTTTAAGCGATTTGAACGTTTCCTTTTTGTTAAAAACCGAGCAAAGAACAACACTCGGAGATGTTTCTCCACCGCTCTGCATACGTCATCTCCTTCATCGCTCTGTGACGGCCCTCTGGAAATGATTTGTCTATGACGCTTTGCCAGACCATAACTCAGTTACAACTGAGAATGGTCTGGTTTAACCAGGCTATATTAGGGCTACCTGTAGGTCAGTTTCCATTTCTTTTCTTTTTCTTTTCTTTTTTTAGTTTCCATTTCTGTGTAGTCTAATTTTACTCCGAAGTCTTTTGCATTTTACACTGGGTGAATCTCCAGTTGTCACTGGTGATTGTCGTTTGAACCTTTCTGGATCCGCCATCAAATTGATAAGTTTAATTATAGCAAGTGCAGTGAGAAAAGGCTATAAATCTCCACCTCCAACATCCTCACACGCAATATAGCCTACTAGCCGAGACTCCTTCTTTATGTGTACAGATGTAGCCTGTGGCTAACTCGGGTACGCTTACATTTGTTCTGAATGTTGATCAGTGTACATTGTCCCTTTTCAAATAAACAAATAAATAAAATAAATGTGATGTAATTACGCAAAGACATGCTCGAATTTCCCACGGAAATCCACCAGTACCACTGGAATCAAAAACATTATTACAAGCTTACCGTTTTGAATCAAGCTAAAGCAAGCAGATAAGTTTGAACACTGGCTGGTTATGTACTTGCTCAAATTTATTTTGGATAATTTTTAACCCCAAAAAAGTTATAGACTGCAGCTTTAAATTTAAAAGGAAATTAGAACTGTTGTCTTGTCAACTAACTGAAATAAAATAAGGTTAATATGAAGTACTAAAATTACAAAAACGGAAATAAAAATAAATTTACTAATAGATTAATAGATTTAGAAAATATGTAGTTTTGCACGTCTTATAATTAGACCTCAAAAATGAGATTATAGTTTGAAATGGCAGCTTGGCTAAATCTGCATTTCCTGTTTTGAAAAGAAAAAAGAAAAAACAAGAGCAGAGAGGAAAAAATCTGGCAAGAGTTTTGAAATCCCTCTGGTCGGGCAAGTTGCTAAAGCCTCGAAGTCTTCATCCAGCCCGGCATGAGTCTCATCATCTGTCAGTACTTACAGACTCTCATCCAAACATCTATCTCAATGTCATCTCTTTCAACATAACATGTGTTCTGTTTCGCAGACTGGCCACAAATATGGAGGGAGATATTAAATTAAAGAGCATAAGATAGAATAGAAAAAAGACAGATAAACTGTTGCCATACCATTAGCTGCTGTCTAGCCGCACATACGCCATCAATGCTGCCCTGTATGTAGACAGCAGAGCGGCTAGTGTGAGTGTTGAGCTCGGGGAAGTGAATATTGGCTCCAGTGCGCTGGGAAATGTGCTTGACATTGGCTCCGTTGCGGCCCAAAAGGAAGTGGTGGTGCTGGGGCGCGATGTCCAGTTGTGTGCTGACCAGCACTGAGCCGGCCAAAGACCCAGCGAGGTGCTCCAATAACAAAGCCGTACCGCGCTGAAACACGCAAACATGTTAGCAGCACACACTAGATATAGATCTGCAGTAACACAAACACACACAGGGATGCCAGCATATAAGCTTACACATACTCACACTAATAAAACCGTCACCCATCTCTTGTAATACCTTATATTATGTGGTGGAGGGTGGAGGCTGCTGTTTTCAGTTTAATTTCTGGCAGCTCTACTCGAAAACTAAATCTCTCCATTTCATGAAATGACCTAGTTTCATTCCTTCTCCTACTCAAGAGCTCGCTCATTTCAGATCTGCTAATGAATGCCACTTCAGTAGGTTTTGATTGGTTTTGGGTCAACTATGTGCACTTTTAGGGGTTGACTTTCACTAATAAATTCAGATTTTACCATTTCATTTTTTGACATTGGAAGGTCATCATGTTAAAACTGTTACCATGCCTTTACCATTTATTTTAGTTAATTTGAAATGGTTTTAATACTACAGTTCAAATGTTTGGGGTCACTAAGATTTAAAAAAAGAAAGAAATTAATACTTTAAGTCAGCAAGAACGCATTAAACATTCAACATTCAAACATTCTACACTACTTCCACATAGTTTCAAAAGTTTTTTATTCTTCAAAGAATCCTCAAAAAATATGCATCAGTTCCCACAAATATGTTAAGCAGCACAACCGTTTTCAACATTGATAATAATAAATGTGTCTTTAGCATCAAATCAGCATATAAGAATGATTTCTGAAGGATCACGAAACACTGAGTGAAGACTGGAGTAATGATGCTGAAAATTCAGCTTTGTCGTCACAGGAATAAATTGTATTATAATATATTCAAATAGAAAACAGTCATTTTAAATTGTAATATTCCACATTATTAGGGTTTTTACTGTATTTTTTTAGATGAAATAAACATAGCCTTGGTGAGCATAAGAAACTTCATTCAAAAACATTTAATAAAAATCATACTAACCCCAAACCGTTGAACAATATTGTACACTCACCTAAAGGATTATTAGGAACACCATACTAATACTGTGTTTGACCCCCTTTCGCCTTCAGAACTGCCTTAATTCTACGTGGCATTGATTCAACAAGGTGCTGAAAGCATTCTTTAGAAATGTTGCCCCATATTGATAGGATAGCATCTTGCAGTTGATGGAGATTTGTGGGATGCACATCCAGGGCACGAAGCTCCCGTTCCACCACATCCCAAAGATGCTCTATTGGGTTGAGATCTGGTGACTGTGGGGGCCATTTTAGTACAGTGAAGTCATTGTCATGTTCAAGAAACCAATTTGAAATGATTTGAGCTTTGTGACATGGTGCATTATCGTGCTGGAAGTAGCCATCAGAGGATGGGTACATGGTGGCCATAAAGGGATGGATATGGTCAGAAACAATGCTCAGGTAGGCCGTGGCATTTAAACGATGCCCAATTGGCACTAAGGGGCCTAAAGTGTGCCAAGAAAACATCCCCCACACCATTACACCACCACCACCAGCCTGCACAGTGGTAACAAGGCATGATGGATCCATATTCTCATTCTGTTTACGCCAAATTATGACTCTACCATCTGAATGTCTCAAGAGAAATCGAGACTCATCAGACCAGGCAACATTTTTCCAGTCTTCAACTGTCCAATTTTGGTGAGCTCTTGCAAATTGTAGCCTCTTTTTCCTATTTGTAGTGGAGATGAGTGGTACCCGGTGGGGTCTTCTGCTATTGTAGCCCATCCGCCTCAAGGTTGTGCGTGTTGTGGCTTCACAAATGCTTTGCTGAATACCTCGGTTGTAACGAGTAGTTATTTAAGTCAAAGTTGCTCTTCTATCAGCTTGAATCAGTCGGCCCATTCTCCTCTGACCTCTAGCATCAACAAGGCATTTTCGCCCACAGGACTGCCGCATACTGGATGTTTTTCCCTTTTCATACCATTCTTTGTAAACCCTAGAAATAGTTTTGCGTGAATATCCCAGTAACTGAGCAGATTGCGAAATACTCATACTGTGTGTGATACAGTCTGGCACCAACAACCATGCCAAGCTCAAAATTGCTTAAATCACCTTTCTTTCCAATTATGACATTCAGTTTGGAGTTCAGGAGATTGTCTTGACCAGGACCACACCCCTAAATGCATTGAAGCAACTGCCATGTGATTGGTTGATTAGATAATTGCATTAATGAGAAATTGAACAGGTGTTCCTAATAATCCTTTAGGTGAGTGTATGCATAAAGTTAAAATTTTCACCCTTGCTTTTATATATATATATATATATATATATATATATATATATATATGTATATATATATATATATATATATATATATATATATATATATATATATATATATATATATATATATATATATATAATCAATTAATTATAATAAAATAGATTAAATAAAATAATAAAATCTCTTTCAATAGCAGCATTCCTGGTATGTCTATCACTTCATGCCTCACCTTAACACCACTGGCATTGTTCTGGTTGCCACGGACGATGGCAGTGTTGCCATAGAGACGGGAGGGTGCTTTGAAGGAGATGGAGACATTGTAAGTGTGGGAGATATGCTGAACTACAGGAGAGCTACAGTCCACATGCTGCACCACCCCACTGCATTCAAACATCAGCATCAACGGCAACAGCTCCTACAGAGAGGATGGGAAAGAGTGATGCTTTTGAGTAGAAAACAACAGAGGGTTGAAGACAACACACAACAAGAAGTTATGGCATTTTTAACCACTAGGGTGCAGCACATAAAGCCCCTAATCTATGATTGGCCTTTCAAACTGGGCCACAAGGGGGCGTTAGAGCAGAAAATTAGAAAGGAAAAACACTACAGTGTATTTAGGGCTGTCCAGGTTAATGTGTTTAAAGTTATTAATCAAATAGCTTAACATATTAATTTAGTAATATATTGAAATGGCTTTGAGAAAAAAAAAAAAGCTTTAAAGCAAAATTCTCTGCAAAAGTCCTGTTATAAGCACTTAAAAATACATTTTAAATAAAAATACAATATAAAATGAAAGGGTTTCTCTTCAGGTTTATACATCTAATAGTGAGTAGAAAAAAAGATATGTCAACTTAATTCTGAATATTTGCAAGTAAATATTTTACAGATTATATTTTAAATTGTTTAGGATTTAGAGCAATCACTAACAAAAAACAATTATTTATTTTTGGAGACATTGTTTTTATAATGTAATCCTTGCTACATTATAAATGGGCCTTCATCATATATGGGGTTCAGTGGCATCGAAAAGTTTTAAAACCCCTGGCCTGCACATAGTGACAAGTGACCATGAAAGAAAAGAAGAAAGCAAGCTCATAAACAGAGTCTCACCCGTATTTTAACTCGCGCTGCCTCAACACCAGTCAGCTGCCCCGCAATCGACACCTGACAGAAAAAGAAGGGGACAAAAAGACGATTGTTCTTCATGATGTTTTTTTTTCATAATATGTGCAGCTGTTAATTCCTTTCTCTCATCCTGTAAGAATTTTTTTAAATAGGACGCAATGTCACGTCCAGAAACCTGATTTATTACCAATCGAAACATTAAATAGGAGTATGTGTGTGGCAGTCTGCCAGTCTAAAAAACCTTAATTAAACGTCCTGCTGTTTTTTTTTTTTTTTTCATCATTTCATCCTGACGACCACACGTTTAATCAAGGCCTGTGAGAATTAATCCCGGTTTGGAACGAGGTGATCCGGCCCAGTTCAGAGAGTCCATCTGGTTTGGCTCTGAGGTCGGTGTTTGTGCATGCGTGCGCTTGTATACGCTACTAACATTCCAAACTGTCTGCACGCCTCGTCAGACCACTCAGCAGTCTATTTAAACCTGAGAGCCATCCAACAGCCAATCAGATCCATCTTACTCCAAACCGTTCTCATCCTCCGGCCAATACAAACTGCCTCGTGTCCCTCAGCCAATAAAATGATTCAGCTAGAGTTCAGCCACTGCAGGATAGTAAAAGTTGGCTGGATGGAAGAGATTTGCTGTGTGCTTGCTAAATTAGCACAAAGAACTAAACATATTCCCATAGTAGGGATAATTCACGCAAAAACAAAAATTCTGTCATTATGTATTCACCCTCCATTTACTATTTTTGTGAGTAAAAGACCAAAATGTGAGTAACTATTTGAGTAACTATTAGTAACTAAAATGTATGACTTGTTGCTGGTCTTGGTTGGGTTGGTGTGTGTGTGTGTGTGTGTACCTGGTTGCTCTTCTCCCCCTGGCTGTGCCTGTTGGAGTCTGGAAAGTGTATGTGACAGCCCGTCTCTTCCATAACTCGTTTGATGTTATTCCCTCCTTTCCCAATAACATGCGAGTGTTCTGTGTGTGATACGTCCATCTTCAGGGTCACACGATTACTCTGTGGGTGTCAAAGGTAGTAACACAGCATTCATGGAAACCTTTCATAGCTGAATTAAAATCATTTAACCCTGTTCATAACTCTTAGTAGACTGCATTCAGATACACTGACGTTCAACGGTTTTTCCGAAACATTTTAAAATGTTCAGTAAATGTTTTATTTTTAAAGAAATTAATATCTTTATTCAGCCAGAAGTCTTTAAATTGATCAACAGAGACAAGAAATAAATTTCTATTCATTAACAAATCCTGAAAAAAAGGAATCACACAAACATATTAAACAGCACAACTGTTTTCATCATTGGTAATGATAAGAATTATTTTTGAGAAGCAAATCAGCATATTAGAATGAGTTCTGAAGGATCATGTGACACTGAAGACTGGAGTAATGATGCTGAAAATTCAGCTTTGCCATCACAGGAATAAATTACATTTTAAAATAATTTATTTATATAGAAAAACCTTATTTTAAATGGTAACATTACACAATATTACTGTATCTTCTGATTGGTGTAACATTTCATTGCAGTTTTGCTATATATTTTGCCAGATTTTTATTAAACAAGAAATATTTATGCTGAAAACAAGAAAAAAATATTTCTCAATGTGGTAAGAAAAATAAATATTCTCTCCTAATATCTTATGCAATTTAGCCTTTAAAGATGTTCGTATATTAACATCCTTGTACTAGGAAATTATAAAAAATACTGATTTATAAAATGTTTTTTTTATAGTGAACCCAAAAAGACCTAATTTTTCCTGCAGTTACCATGACAATTATATGTTTAGTGCTTACCTTTGTGTCAAGAACGGACATTATTGTCTCTTTGGCCTCTCGCACATCTTCCCTCTTTCCGCTGACCTTAATATGTGGATCTGTGAGGAGGAGAGGAAGAAAGCAGATGAGTACAGGACAGGAGAAGAAATTAGTCATCCATTAATAAAGGTGCTTCACAACACAATTTGCGCTATTATTTTACACAATGAATGAAATCACAACTGGTTTCAAAACCAGTGGTCTCAAGAGTTAACACATTTCTCTTTCAGTTTTCCACAAAGACGCCCCCAACATACATCATGAGAAATACAACACATGTCTGCTTTACTGCTGCTCTCTAAAAATAGCTCTAGTAGTGTAACTTGGAATTCAGTTTTTCTCTACACATATTCTCTGACTTACTCACCCCCCCCTAAAACACTCCCACAAACTACAGGATTTGGACCTAGAAGAGCAGGGGGGATGAAACAGGAAGGATCCCTGTCTTACACACACACACACACTGTTACTGGGGGAGGTATTATAGTAACACCAGTAGGGGTCTCCTAGTCCAGCCCACCACACTATCCTCTTCCTGCCATGTGGTATTCATCAACTCCAGCATGTGTGTGTTTGTGTGGGGTTGCATGTGTGGCATGTGTTATGAATGGAGAATGTCTATGCATGTCTGTGAAAAATCTAATAGTTCATGCGTGCATATACAAGGTTATTATATCAACACCAATGTCTGTCTTTCATTTAAAGTTCTCAATATAAGGGTGTATATGTACAGTATAAACAAACACATATATTACACACACATACATACACATATATATATATATTTATTTATTTATTTATATACATACATACATACTATCATTCAAATGTTTGGTCAAAAATATAGTAAAACAATAATATTGTGAATATTATAAAAAAAATTAAATAACTGTTTTCTATTTTATTATATCTTAAAATGCACTTTATTCCTGTGATGGCAAAGCTGAATTTGCAGAAATCATTCTAATATGCTGATTTGCTGAAACATTTCTTATTATTATCAATGTTGAAAATGGTTTTGAATATTGAATATTTTTAAACCATGATCAGTTTTCAAGGATTCTTTGACGAAAATCTCAAAAGAACATTTATTTGACAGAAATATTTTGTAACATTATAAAAGTCTTTACTGTCACTTTTGATCAATTTAATGTGTCCTTGTTGAATAAATGTATTCATTTCTTTCATAAAACATAAATCGTACTGAGCCCAAACTTATGAATCGTAGTTTATATATTCATATACAAACACACATAGACACAGTGGCTGGACATGGCTTCAACCTAGTCACTTATTCCTGTCGTCAACCAAACTGTCTGGTCTCTCTACACTCCAGTAGAGACTGATTTTGTTTTGTCCGACAGCCTCATTTAAAAGTGCTTTACTGACTCAGGACAGAGTGGAACAGACATCTCTCAGATTGATAACATCTGTTACAGAGGCCGAAACATATAAGAAGGAAAAAAGAGAGAGAAAATGAGAAAACAGTTTGAGACCTGGGAAAGTAAAATATAGTTTAGCATTGTGAGTCTAACCGTTAACCCTAACAGTGACCATTATTTGCAACAAGATCAACAGGGGACTTTACAGAAATACAGAAATCAGGAAAAAAACAAAGGAGGGGAAATGTACAGAGATGAAAAGAAAGAGAGATCTTGGGCACATCCAAAATGACTGATTCTGAAGAAATATGGTACTTTAAAGGGGTCATCGGATGCCCATTTTCCACAAGTTGGTATGATTCTTTAGGGTGTCATGTAAAGTTTGTAATATACTTTGGTTAAAATTCCTCAATGGTTGTGTAAAACAACACCCTTTTTACCTCCTCAAAAACAGCTTTGTTCACAGTGACCTGTTTCGGTACGTCTCTTTAAATGATAATGAGCAACTGCTCACCCCACCCCTCTCTTCCATGGGTTTGTCGAATGGCTGAGGGCAGAAATATGCTAATACGGGACAGTCAGTCAGTGGTCGTGGGCGGAGCATGAGCATTATGACATCATAGTGCTCAGAAAATCCAAACGGCCTGATTATTGAGAATGTTTAGACTTTTTGAGGATTAAAAAAAAGGAGAGAATGGATTTTTTTCATTGTATGGTGGTTGTGTATACTTAGTAAAAGTTTGCGGCCGGTTACCAATATAATTTTAGAAATGTTCATTAAAAGTCAGTTATCAATTTAGACCAGCAAAAATGTCCAATTTTTGCTGGTGATCTTATCATGGCAGCCCCCATGAGCTGACCTGCACCATGTCAAATAAATCAGCATTTACTAGGATACTGATAAGACAGTCTTCATCTTATGGGAGTGTACATGATTTCGACTAGGATTATTATTATTCATTTATTTAGGGGTTTTAAAAAGAGAAATTACTGAGTGCAAGGTGAAATGAACCTCCAAAAACACACTCTTTGAGTCTTTTAGTCATGTGGAAATGAGCCACATAAACAAACATGTGTGCAAACGTGCACACAGGCAGATAAGCACACAAACAGCTTCACAAAATATGAGCTACAAAAGTACATTCATATATCGTCAGTTACATGGAAAAGCACAAATTATGAGCCTGTCATCTTTTGAATAAGACTTACGAGAAATACAGCAAACTGGCCTGTCTTTTAAACATTCAACGTAGCAAAAAACATTAACTTCTTTAGAGAGACCTAATCCATCCAGCTCCATGTCACTCTTCACCCACACTAGATTCGGTTTTGTCTAGTGTTGCCAGATCCGCTCACATGAATCATTTAGGAAAACCCTTAAGGGCCTGATTACATTCTATGGCTTTTTAAAGCCAACATTTCAGTCTGAACTGTTGCCACAGAAAATTAGAGAAGTTACAGACTTGCTATACCTAATCTCTGCTACACAATCAGATGTTAGTTACCATTTACGTTTTATATAAAATGGAAATGTTTTGAAAGCTCACCAAGGCTGCATTTATTTGATCAAAATAAAATAAAAACAGTAATACTGTGAAATATTATTACCATTTAAAATGCCTTTTTTATTTCAATGTATTTTAAAGCATAATTTATTCCTGAGATGGCAAAGCTGAATTTTCATCAGTCTTCAGTGTCACATGACCCTTCTAATCATTCTAATGGACCATTTTCACAGACTGTGATGAGTTTCCACAGTTATCAACATCGCAAATCTAGTCAAGTTTATCACATTTCATTTTGAAAAAATGTAATATACATTTATTTTGCTATACGTTGTTTAATATTAAACTGGGAATAAACGACAAAAATTAAATAATAATAATTAACGCTACCGCGAGGGTGTTTCTAATACAACAGCTGAGGGAGTGACAGCAAAATTTCACATCTTTCTCTCTTCTGACTGGCATAATCAATCTCTTCATATTTTTCCCTTTTTTGGAAAGTCATAAATAATGATTTTTTTCATTTGCTATCAGAGCAAATGGGTATACAAAAATAATATGTGCTGCTGTCTCCCGTTCACTGCTATAGAAGTTTACCCAACTGTGACAACTTCCTCTTCTGAGAACCCTAGACATGTGAAAATGGTACATATGCTGATTTGATGCTCAAGAAACATTTCTTATTATTAATGTTGTGCTGCTTAATATTATTGTGCAAACCATGATACATTTTAGGATTCTCTGAGAAACAGAAAGTTTAAAAGAACATTTATGTGAAATAGACATATTTTTTTAACAGTATAAATGTTTAATGTGTAATAGAAGTGCTAACTTAGAGAAAAAAATCTTACTGACTCCAAATATTTGAACAGAAATATATATTTGATCAGGGAACGAAGAAAATGCAGTTCCTAGATGGAAAATGGGCATCTATCGAAAATCTTAACTACCTTTTTAAAGCTGTAAGATATTCCAAACAAACAACCAACGGACAGACAAAACACGATTGTGATACTGAAAAAAGACAGCAGGATACCAACTGAATATAATTCTATGTTAGACACGGCTACTTGTGAACAGAGTGTAAGTTTATGCTGTGTGACTAGCGCAGAGACTTCTGCCATAACTACTGTCTGCCTGTGTGCGTGTGTATACCTTTTTTGGACTTTGCTCCAATCTTCAGTTTGGACGGCCAGGCAATCTGAGTGTTTGTTTCATCCATGACCTAAAACACAAAAAATGAACATGAGTGGATGCAAATGCAATGTAAAACACTCAAATTATGCATTAAAAACACATAGGCTTGCTATGCTAATATTAGCAAATACATGTTTTGTCATTCTCAAACAAACACACAAGAACTTTTTCAGTTATGCTAAAATATTCACACTGACAGAAATGTTTTAACAGAGGTCTTACAATCATCGCTCTCTCTGGCTAAAACATGCCCTACTTTCTCAGTTTCACACACATATACACACAGCTGGCTCAAAAACCTGTGAAACATGTAACAGCCAGTTGGCAGCGAGCCTTTGACAGGCCTAGCGTGCTAACCAGTAGCATATGTGAAGGAAAAGAGAGAAAAAGCAAGAATGGTAACGTGTTTTGTGTCCATATAAAATACACAAAAGAGAAACTTATGGTAATTTGCAAGCTACATGAATATACAGGTTCAATGTTTTATAAAACTCTGCCATGATTTTACTCTGGAAGAAGGCAGAGCGCTTCACTATTTTTAGTGGTTTTGTCTTTCATGTAAATTCACTTTTTAGAGAAAACCGCAACTTTAGAAACACTCTCCTTTGTCTCCATAGAAAACACATTTCTTTACCCGTTTTGTGGCAGACTCTCTATCTTCCTGCCTTTTAAAACCTCTTGGCTTTCATGGTCAGCAAGGCTTTACTGTACAGCAGTTCTCATGAGAAGTTTTGGCTACAAAGCCAATTTCTTTCAGGAAAAAAAAAATCTGAGCATGAAACTGCAGCAATTATTTATATATATATAAACTCAAGTGTAGTTTTCCACAGGAACTTTAGGAGAATCTCAGCCTCTGGGCTAATACTAAATAGAATTTATTTATTTTTATATTTTAAATAAACGTGGCATAGATTTGCACCTGCTCCTCAGACAGATTGACTGTACTATAATAAGCAGTCATTTAGGCTACTGACTTATTCCTCATTTATTGTGAACTGGTCACAGTAGTGAACTGAAGACGGCATACTGAAGTAAACATGCAGGCCACTGAAGTCAGCACTTACGTATGCATTTCTAAGGTGATGTGCTTCGGAAGCTAGTGAATTTGCGCAGAGATAATAAAAAAGACGCAGACGAGGAAGAGAAGGAAAGCAAAGATTTCTTGTAAAGTTTTCCGTTTAGTTTTGCTTGTATAGAGCGGTCACCTTAATACTCATCATGAGTGTATAACTAACTTCGCTGCCGTCTTCTTTGTTTACAGAGTGACCAAAGTTCCAGTATGTAAAATCTTTGAAATGACTTCCATCAGTGCAGAATTGTGACGAATGTCGATCTATTGTAAATACGTCAAGTGACGTAAAAGTCGCATTCATTCCGATATGACTGTTCAGACTGATGTCGCATTGCAAAACATCAGACCTGTCTCTGTATTTGGACCTCATATTGAAAGCTATGTTCAGACTGAAGGTAAATGTGGCCCAAATTAGATTTTTTTTGCTTACATGTGACTCTCACAGATGTTTTTCTCACAAACCACATAGAATCTGATCTTTTCAATTCCGATTTGTGCCACTTCCAAAAGTGGTTCTAAATCCGACACAGGTCAGATGTTTTGCAATGGGACCTCAGTCTGAACAGTCATATTGGAATTCATGCGACTTTTAAGTCACTCTAAAGCACGTGTCAAACTCCGCTTCTAGAGGGCCACTGTCCTATAGAGTGTAGCTCCAACCAGCTCCGAAACACCTGCCTAGAAGTTTCTAGTAATCCGAAAGACCTTGATTAGTCGGTTCAGGTGTGTTAGGAACTGAGTTTGACACCTCTGCGTCTAGAGCTACATTTGTCACAATTCTGTGCTCATTGGAGTCACTTCAAAGATTTTACATACCCAAAGTTATCAAGACATTTGCGAAAGGTAGTCAGTGGATGTGTGATGTGTCAGAACTATATACTGTATATATATACATGTTGTACTGTATACAAGCAAAACACAAGGGCTCGTATCATAAATGTTTAAAAACTCTGCTCTCTTTTCGCATACTTGTCTTTGTTTTTTATTATTGCCTGCACATAAATTCACTGGCTTCCGCAGCAGATCACACTATAAATAACTGTGTAATCACTTACTTTAATGTCCTCCATATTTACTACCATATGACAGCGTGCTGCTTGACGTCTTTTTATCGTTTTTTTGTACATGTGGGTCACTCCAGGACCATGATCTGTTCACACTGGAAACTCATATTGGCCACATTTAAAACAACAATGTGAACTGCTATACAAAAAAAAAAAAAAATTATAATTCAGATCTGAGCATTAAATTGGAAAGTAGCCAAAGTGGCCCAAATCAGAATTGAAAATATTAGATTACATGTGGTTTGTGCTGTTCAGTCTGTTATAAAATAAATAAAAATAAGTTTCACAAATTTCGGATTTGGCCCACTTTTGCCTGCAGTATGAATGTATTCTCATCCACCACACAATCTCTTCAATGGACCTTAGAAATGGTGGGCAGAAGTCAGTTACGATCATGCACTTATTGCATGTTTAAACCCAAGCCTGCACATGCTCATGCATAAACTGGGAACATTCAGTCTCCCATGCTATTCTAAAATTTACGGCCTATACTTATCCAGGTTTCATTAGTCTTGGACCCGTGGTTCAACAGCAGGCTTCAGTTTATATTTTGTTTTGACACCCTAAAGGACAAAAGAACATGAGAATGTTTTTTTTAACTTAGGGGAACAAGTTTATTAATCTCTCCAGATCTTCTTAAGTCTGTAAATTACATGCACAGCTGTGACACATCCTGTGATTCAGAGTTGTGAAATTACAGTTTGAAAACAGCAAAGCTACAATAAAACAGTAATGTTCTTATCCTTGATACAGTGTGCCTGCATTTACTTCTATATTACAACATGCAAAAACATTACAAACAACTTTACACAATTCTGACTATGAAGCCATCAAAATATTTTCTGTCTTTGGCTTTATGAAATTAAAGCCTTTTCAAAGAGTCCAAAATTCAGGGTATCATGTTTGATTCTGCATCATTCTGCATATGTGACATGATGAACAAAAAAAGCTACATCTTATGTTCTTCTTTGATCTTGTGTTTTTATGTCTTGCAAACATAACCACTGATTTTCTGAATGTATTGTACCATGTTGTTAAAAAATTCTGCTGATTTGAATGTCACTAATGTAACAATATGTAACTAGCTAACATAGCAAAACTGCAAGAAAAAAAAATTTATATACAATAATACCAAATATAATTATTAATTTATATTTTATTAATATATTATAATTGTAAATAATAGTAATAATTATTATTCTTATATTTTTTCTTGCAGGTTTGCCATGTTAGAGATATACACAATACAGTTCAAAAGTTTGGTGTTGGTAAGATTTTTTTTATATTTTTGTCTTTTTGAATAAATTCAGCATTGGTGATATTTTTATAAAATTATTATATTACTAATTTTATCCAAAGTCACTTGTAGACACAAGAAGCTAGCCACTTGTAAGCTAAAAACAATGTAACTTTATGACTGCAGCAGTAGAAAAAGCCACACAGTAATATTAGCTAGTCTGTACTTTTCAGTTAAGTTTAAATACGGTGTTTCCGTTAAGCAATGCAACAACGTCAAAACTCTCTACACTGATGACCTTGAACCAAACAAAGACACAATCAAACATGCCTGAAGGAAAACTGAACATTTCAGATGGGATGAAAAGGTAAACGGTGCTTAAAGTTTGTACAGGCAGAGAGCCAGATCCCATTTCCATTCTGTGTGTTTGTGTTGTGCTGCAACGCTGCTGTGCATTCTATAGGTCTTTATTCCCGACCTGCTCTCACTTTCTCTCTTGACTGCTTTCTTTGGCTCCGCTCTGCAGATGAGAGAGATTTCTGACAGACCACACAGCAGTTTTGGGGTTTGCGGTTTATTTTTGTGACAGACCAGCACATACCTCTCAAATGGGTCAGACGATTCCAGAAAAATTGGGTTAGCTATACATTTGAAAATGTTACTTTCCTATTCCCCCACACCCAATTTCATCCTGTCACAGGAATGTATACACCCACCGTTAACAGGAGAAAGAGTTTCAAACGGCAGTGACTTCAAAGTACCAGAGTCACAAAATCTCTGATCTTCATTAAGTCATTAAAAATGGGCACAGTGATGGAGAGCAGAGTGTTTATATTTGACAAATGATGTGTATGAGAGAGTGCATGTGAACGAGCATGTGTATAGAGATCTGCTTCCTGTTTCCTTTGTTGATTCAGCTGAGGAGCACTCAGGAGAACAAGCTAAGAAAAGAGGTGTGAGGAGGAGAAAAGGAGGGAAACGGAACGAGGGAAGGGTTGGGAAAGCCTTTACTTTCAATGTAGGCTAAACAGCACAGGTGTGCACTCTGAAATAAATCAAACAAATCCATTACAGACACTGCAATATATTTACTGATCCGTAAGATGCACTCTTAGTGGCACATTAGGAATTAAAGGGATAATCCACCCAAAACATTTCTGTCATTATTTACTCACCTTCATGTTGTTCTAAAGCTGTATGACTTTCTTTTTTAATGGGAACCAAACAACATTGGAGCCCATTGACTTTCATTGTATAAAGGAAAAACAGACATTTCTCAAAATATATGTTGCAAAAAAGGAAAGAAAGTCATTCAGGTTTGGAACAACAAGAGGGTGAGTAAATGATGACAGAATTAAAATTTTGGGGTCAACTAGTTCTTTAACATGGTGTTTGGTTTGACAGACTGACATATTTTTATTATATAAAATCACCATTCAAAAGTTTGGGATCAATAAGATTTATATTTTAAGTAGCCTAATTAATACTTTTTTCACTTAATACTTTTGCATTAAAATTATCAAAAGTGAACTTATCTATTCATAAAATAATCCTAAAATAATTGACATTTTAAAGTGATTTAAAAAGTATATTAAAATAGAAAAGTTATTTTAAATATGTGTAATAAAAAATACATTTGTAAAAATTCAATAAATAATACATTTAAAAAATATATATATTTCAAAATATTGTTTTACAAACCTAAACTTTTGAACAGTATTGTATATTTATTTGACATTTATTGATATTGAATCGGTAACTATGCCAGCAGAAGTGTAATTCTCTGTCATGTTAGATTCTGTTTTTAAACATTTTTAGTGAATTTTAAGTAAATGCAACAGTAAAAGTACAATGAAGAGATTGGCAGAGACTACCGCTGTGGTGATGTTTCAGAAAATGATAATGATGGAGATTGGAGACAAAGACAGAGACAGAGAATGGCATAATTCCAATCCCTTCACTGCAGGGAAGGGAAACTCAACAAAAGTTTTAATCACTGAAATGATTACTCTCGCCTAACTCCCCCCAAAAATACCACCCATGTCACCACTATCAAAATCATCAGACATTTGTGTGTTTCCTCCATTTATCTTTGCTTGTGGCTGATTCTCAGAAAACCACCATCAAATAGACACCGCCTGACGGGACAAAATAGCGACAACCACTGGACAGAACAAAGTCCATTTCACTTGGATGTACATCATAATGATCTGCCACTACTTCTGTTTCATTGTGACTTTAAAAAAAAAAAAAAACTTCACATACAGACCAACCTGCAAACTGACAATAAAGTGATCCTTGCGTCTGCATTTTTTACACATGATAGCCTACATGAAGAACAGAATCATCAAGTCTGATGGTATTTGATCTCTAACAAAGATAAATTCTCTGCTAAAACATGACATGCATACAAGAAAATATACATATAAAGAGGATACATATACCATTTTAGACTGCCTGAGAACTGAAGTCTCCTGGATCAACCATGGAAAGACAGCAAAAGTGCAAGTGAGGACAGAAACCAGTGATCATATCAATACTGCAACCAGAGTAGCGCTGTTCATAGACTATATGCAAACCTCAATCATCTGAGCCAAACCAAGAATATTTTGACAATTTCATTGGCCCTTGTTATCTCTGTTTATTAGAAACCTAAGCAGGGATAATTGTTTGGACCAAATCAATCATCGTTCCGAATTGGCTCCTTCATCGAGCATCTTTGGTCAGGTTTATTATGTGTTTAAAGAAGCCTCACCACAAGCTCTCTCTCACACACAAAAAACATGCTAGAGACACCAGCATGCTACTGGAACAAGAATGATGGTCGTGATTTATTTTATTTTTATTTTTTTAATTACTGACCAAAAGAGCAGGTACACCTGAGATCTCATGGAAATAAGCAAAAAATAAACAAATTTATTCTCACCTTCTGAAAAAAATCCTCTCCTCCATTTATCCTCCCCTCACTGGCTGCTGTGTGAGAAAAAGAGAGAGATGTTTACATTACCAATAGCAAGAGAAACTTTATTTCACAATTATTTCTGTTCACTAAATTGTTGAACTTTTTGAATGTTATTTAAGCAATAAGGCATGAGAAGCCAAGCCATGTTATATTGTGATTTAGTTTTAGATGCTGTTAGGCATAATGTGAGAAGCACAGAGGTTTCAATCCCAGGTTCACATACTTACACAAAGATTTATTCAAACACAACCACAAAACACACACAAGAATAAGGCAGCAGCATTCTCACAGCCTTCTTAAACTAAATGTATTTCATATGTCACACACATGCTTGTCTTTTACACACACAAGCATGCTGTATGCAAACTCACACTATCATGAGTTATAGCTGACAAAAAAAAAACACTTCATAAATCTTCATAAACACACTTTCAGAATCCTACACAGGGTTGAATGCTTGCATATGACTTAAGTCCATTTAAACTAACTACTACAATGATCTAGATCATTTTTTCGACCATTATCAGATTTCGGATCACTTAAATATGTAATACGCAATTAAAGTGTGATTTTGAAAAACTAAAATGTGTAATGACTCAAAGTCAGGTGGGATAAAAACATTGGGTTCACAGGAAAATCTGAGAATTTGTTTGCTTTGGTGGGACGCTGGGTCTCCAGATGTTTGGTTTAGATTGTCCTATCATATAAAATTAAACATTCTTGTGTATGTGTCTGCATAGAGAGTGGTTTATCTAATAGCACCAAGCCCTTTCCTGCACTTTTCTTTACCTATAACGTTGAAATATGGATTTCATAGAGAGTTCAGAACAACAAACCACAAATGGGAGGAAATAAAAGGGTTAGAAATGAGATAATCTTGTCATCTAAACCTCTAAATGACCCTAAAATCACAAGCAAAAGCACATCCACCCCTTTCTCCATGAAATTCACTACATTTCCAGATCAAAACAAGGATAGAAAGAGCTACGTTCCCATCTCATTAAACCAAAGTGTGTTGAACCCCTCCTTCAAAAATCATTGCAATGCTGGGATTTATATGGCAATGCTGAACATTTTGGATTCTTATTGCAAACAAAGAACTGGTATCATCACAATTTCGCATGACCTGGCATGTAGCGGAGAAAAGGAGAGATGAAAACACTAACAGTGTAAAAAACAGCGTGAAAAAATCTTGAAAATTAAGCCTTTTTTTCCCAGATGAGTGAAAGGAGATCCACAGAAAATTGTATTTTGTGTGTGTGTGTGTTTGCGTGTGTATGTATATACAGTGCGTGTCAGAATTATTTGCCCCCTTGGTAAATATGATCAAAGATGGCTTTAAAAAAATAAATCTGCATTGTTAATCCTTTTGATATTTTATTAAAAAAAAGTAGCAAAAATCGAACCTTTCATTGAAGTAAAAGAATTGAAAGTGTGTGTGTGGGAGGGGGTCACATTATGAAATAAATGTTTTTCTCCAAATAAGAGAACAGTTATCTGAGTCTTCTCCTATAATGCATGATGAGTTTGGAGAACACCTGAATAAAATATCAAAAGGATAAACAATGCAGATTTATTTTTTACAGCCATCTTTGATCATATACAGCACTGTGTGTGTATATTTATATATACAAACACATTAGATATTTTATTTATATATTATAATATATATATATATATATATATATATATATATATATATATATAGGCCTATAATCTTTTAACAAATTGAATTTTAGACAGACAGACAGATAGATACAGAATTTGTGAGGACAGAGAAAGACTGACTCGTGAGTTCACTCTATGAAGTTGAGAAATCTGAGAAAATCCACTTCACATCTCTCCTATCAGAAGCTGTAAATTGAGTCAAGTGTTTCATGAGATGTTTGGACAATGTTGTATCTGTGCAGCACGGATACACATATGGTCACACATCTGTAATGAGTACAGCATGTAACAGATTAACACCTCTGAACTGAACCCGTCCCTATACTACTAGACAGACCAACACAAACGACACTGTGTTCCAAAAAATATATTTTTTTATAAGCACTAGAATGCTACTTCAATACCATACAGCTCTGATTCTCTCAGATAAAATACTCACTTTCTAACACACACATCCAATTGAAAACATGTACTGAGGCACACACAGAGAAAAATATGAAAATAGCAAGTCTTAAACCAGACAGAATGTTAAATGCAGTGTGTGTGTTGATTTCAGCTCTTTCTTGTGCTCCATTTAGGATGTGGGTCACAAAAACTCCACAGCATCTGAGTTTCTGCTCTAATGAAACAGCTTCACGCACAGATATAGAGTAGAGTGTATTTGATTATAGCACAGCTCCTGTAAACTATGTGTGTGTTAGGAATGTGATGAGTAAGTGAGTGTAAGAACAAAACTGTATAATTTTAGTGTATTTCTCTCGGATAATCCTGGAACTTCCCTTCAACTCCAGAGCTCAGAGAGTGGGCGAGAGATCAGAGAAACAGACCCACAATCAGCATCTGGATTCAAATCTTAACTATTAAGAATTGAAGCCATTTGCTCAGCAGTCAGATATGTCACGGCCTATATCAGTTCAAACGTTTGTGGTCAGTAAGATTCTTTTGACAAAAATTAACACTTAAATTTAGCAAGGATGCATTAAATTTATCAAAAGTGACAGTAAAGCCATTTATCTTGCAAAAGATTTACATTTCAAATAAATGCTGTTTTTTTGGCTTTCTATTCAAAGAATCCTGAAAAAAGTATCAGTTTCCACAAAAATATTAAGCAGCACAACTGTCCTCAACATTGATAATAATAAGAAATGTTTCTTGAGCAGTAAATCAGCATATTAGAAAGATTTCAGAAGGATCATGTGACAGTGGAGTAATGGCTGCTATAAATTCACAGGAATAAATGATATTTGAAAAAAAAAATGTGTATATATATATATGTATATATAAATATATATATATATATATATATATATTGGAATAATATTTCACAATATTACTGAGAAGTAGAGACTTCATTCAAAAACCATTAAAAAAATCCTACGGACCGACTCAAAAACTTGTAAACAGTATAATCTGATTGGTTACGGCAAAGCCTCTCACGTCAGGAAACATAAATCACGCTACATATAAGCACAGCCCTGTCAATGACCAAACTAAAGTACTCTGAGCTTTTATCTTCTCAAACAATTTATTCGCCATGTCATAACTTGGGATTACACACACACACACACATGCCGCTGACAGCACATATATTGCAGACTGGTTGTACAATTTGCAACCTTTTCTTTTGCAACTTCTAAAAGCAAGCAGTCTGCATGAAAGTAAACTCATTCTCTAGAGCTCAAAGCCAAATGCCTTTCAGAAACAATACGTACCACTAAAAGACAAGTCTGTGAAATTGTTCAATTTAAGATGGAAAATAGCACAATAATCTGGCAATATAAACAGCAAAAATATTTTGGATTATAAAATACAGATGTGCCGAAAACACATTCAAGACCTCTTCGAAGGTATTGACTGCAAAGGATTAGGCTATAATGTGTATTAAATAATGTTGTGAACATCTCATCTCTCCATGTCGAGACTCGAGAATGAAACTGTATCCTTGTATGACAGGTTATGAACATAGATGAGTTTGCAGCCAAACTAAAACTCTCCCACACCGGATTTGGAGTATTTCTGCCAAACACAAGTCTTAGTAATCCAATAAGTCAGTTCTTTAAGATTTATCTCTCAAGTATTAAGTATCTTATTAAAACAACTGATGTATTAAGTCCAAGAAATGGATTTACATGTAAACATAAAAACAGAAGGCTTCTTAGAAGAAAACTGCACCAATTCTAATTCTACAACGAGTGATTAATAATTCATAAATACACATCATTGTCTGTTTTATTGCTTAAACATATAAATTAAGATATAAATGTGCCTTTTAATATTCAAATTGCACATGTATGCACATAAAGAGAACTGATAAGAATGTAAAACGTGTACCTTGAAATGTAATCTAAGTCGCTTTGGATAAAAGCGTCTGCCAAATGCATAAATGTAAATAAAGAAATTAAAATCCAAGGTAACAGACTTGTGTTTCCCTGGCAACTGCGCACTAAGCCATAAGCACATTCCCAAAACACAACGCACTTCCTGTTGCTTCACTCAACATGCCAGACACATGCAGCATAAGAATGATGCACTTAACATGCACCCAGACGAAAATATACTCAATAAATACAACCCACATGTCAGAAGACACATGCATAAGCAAATTAATAAAATACAAGCAAACTTTTGGTGGTAACAAACCCGACCCACACACACACATTCACACACAAAAACAAGGATTTAACTGACAGGTGTGAGATGTATTGACCTTTAAAGCTTGATATATAGATTCACATCCTACTGTGACAGAGAAAAACCCACAATTTTGATCACATAGCCACTGAGGGGGGTATTTGATTTCCATAAAGTGCCGGAATAAACTCTGCTAAACAAACACTACATTCTTTTTAGAATTTCTTATCACACAGAATAAAAGGTCAGGCCAGCACACATTCCTCTTTTTTTAATCAAAACCAGACATCTGATGTAACAGCCATTGGGGTAAAGAGAAAACTGCATTCTAATATACTTACAAACTATTACCATAAAAGTTAGTGAGAAAAAGAGAAAGTGCGAGAGAGGAAAAACAGTCATTAAAGTGCGTTTGCATGTTTTTCCCTCCTAATTTCCACTTGCGTGAGTGATTATTTGACGTAAAGTATGACTATCTTTCTTTGGTGCTTTCCGACAAAACCCTAAAGCTGCTCAGATTCCCTTACGTGAACATGAATCATAGGTGATGATCCACTTCCTTCCATTAGTCTTTCTGAATAAGTCTATAAAAATGAGCTGATTTAGTTGTGGTCTGGCCAAAGGGGAAAAGCACAAGAATGGGTCTCCTCTCTGTTTCTACATCGCCACGTTCAATGTTATTTTGATGAAAAATGGTTTTAATTGTAACCCTCTCTGTCTTGTTTCTCTCAGCCTCTCTCCTATTTCCCGGAAAAAGGGAGCAAAACTTTGCCACACAATAAAACTTCACACACACAAAAAAAAAAACACATCACTGGATTTATGATCACGCCTACTGCTCATCCAACCAATCAAAACTACAACCGTTCAAACACCTCCAGATGTTGCACATCATCCGGAGCAAAGGGATGATTACGAGTCACTGAATCATAGGTGTGGAAAAAATGTCCACATCATTACAACAATGATTGTAAAGTAAGTATATAAGTTTATGTGATGTGAAAGGTGTTGTTGAACGTCTCGATGTGGTAGCCTTGCTATGGACGTTTTCCTGGTGCTCTTGAGCTCTCTCATGCTGAACTGACCTTTGGCCTGGGGTCCAAATGTCAGGGAAGCATTCACTCATGCAATTGCACACATGAACACACTCAAATGTGGTAGAATGGTGCTGAGGGTCTTAGTTTTTCCATGTTTCCCAATACACAACTACGTGGAATAAATAAAATGCATACACATATAAATGAATGTTATCTATGGCCCTAACTACATTGAGTATGGTTGGTTTAAATGCATGTTAACAAAAGCAGTCTTTGTAAACTAGAGGCCCTGCTATAACAGACCAGAACTTTTGTACATGTTTAGAATAGGTTAATACCAAACCACTGACCTCAACTTGTATTACTTGAGCTTGTTTAAAATTATAATCTGCTGAAGTTACAACAAAAGAAAAACAAAACAAACTGAGCATTATTCTGCAGTGAAGTAAACTGTCCATTGCTGACAGACTGATGGTAGAATATGACGCAAGTGTTGAATTGAGCTTTAACCATTTGTTTGTGTGTGTTTGTGTACAGTTTTGGCTTTACTTCTTGTCACATTTGTGAAAATGTCCTCACAAATTTAGTTATATGACTTGTGAAGTGGTCCTTACTATTTGAAATGATTTATAAATCAGCCAAAATATATTTTACTTCACACAAACCCGTCTGGTTTAGGGTTAGAAATAGAATATAGTAAATATCATTATCCTAGTATAAAAACACTGCATATATAAGAGGGTATAATATACATGAATATAACTTCATATATATGAATATAACTTCAAAAGTCTGTGTTTCTAAGCATTATGCATGTGATGCCCAAATATTTGAAAACAATCTCACAAACATAGTGAAACATTTTAGAAATTGACTTGAGAACATTTTTAAGGGGTCCTCAATATTTGACAGACTCATACAGTAACTCAACAAAATCATGTTTTGCTTCAAATCTACAGACATAAACAGGTTTTTAATGAGGGATAGTTCAACCGAAAGTCAAGCCAAGCCAAGTTACCTTTATTTATATAGCGCTTTATACAATACAGATTGATTCATAGCAGCTTTATGGTGATAAACAGGAAAATAATAATCAAAAATGAAAACTGTCCTTTCAAACCTGTATGAATTCCTCTGTGGAACATAAAAGAAGATCTTTTGAGAAATGTCCCCGTACAAGTGAAGTCAATGGCAACCAAAACAGTTTTCTTGAAAATATATTGTGTGTTCCACAAAAGAAAGGCATCCAGGTTTGGACCAACATGAGGGTGAGTAAATGGTGACAGAATTTAAATTTTTGGGTGAACTATTCCTTTAAGTTTGGATCTTCTCACTGGGATAGTGAAGCCAGTATGTGTGTATGTGTGTGTGTTGAAAGACTATGACAGTGATGACCTTGATTGATCAGTAATATTGATGTCATATTCATCATATCAAATAAGCAAGCATTTCATGTAAATATTTCATGACACTAAAATAAATTAAATACATGAACTTCTTTCTTAACCATGATTAGTTATGAAAGTCTAACCTCAACATATTTAGCTAAATGAACGTGAGAAGCATATTCTATTTACAGAGTGCATGCAAGAGCCTAAGTTCAAATGCAAAGTTCCCAAAAATTATTGTTAGTTCATGTGAATGTCTGTCGTACTTCGCTAAATAAAACAATAAAACATCCCAATACTGCCCTACATGCTCTACACAACAAGCAGCGTAGTCAACACATCTCCTTCAAGATGTACTTCGAGGAAACTTGTGATATTTTTAGACAGAAATATTTATGTGACTCGACGCCAAGCAACACTGCAATGTTAGCTAAAAGTATTTTCAATACATCAAACTATCCTCCCAGTTCTTTTAGGGAGTTTTTAAGAAGTTAACATACCCAGTAACATAGTTTCTAGTTTCTTGCGGTCAACTCGAAACCTCTCCTCGGTCCAGTCTGGGTCAGGCGGGGAGATGTGGCCGCAGTGGCCGCTAGAGTCATCTTCAGACACGGCAGACGGTGAGTCGTCGCTCCGCTCGCTGCTGGAGCCATGATCATGATGCATGAAACTCAGCGGCTCAGCCATTGCACCCATAAAGTGTTTCAAACTTACTAAACGGGGTTCATATGTAAAACAGGAAAACGGCAAGTCAACATTAGGAGAAAAACATTCCGATTTCCAGGCAAGTTTTTTAAGTCCCTTAAAGTTACTGCCCTCGAGAAAATCAAGCTGCCCGTTAATTCCGCTCCCCTCCACTTTTCCTCTGGCTCCGGGACCAGAACACACTATAGTCGGAGGACATGGATGCATGGATGGATTATGCTCCTATGGGAGCATTCACGTGTCAGGATAACCGCCCACTCTCCTCCCAAACTTTCTCATCATCATATCCAGTTCGCGCGCCTAGTTTCTCATGCATGCGCGGAAAATAAAACATTCGTAGGCCTACAAATGTTTTATTTGCCTAGAAATATATGCATATATTTTTTTATTTATATATAAAAAAGAAGAAATCTTACTAAACCACTTTGCATGCACCTCTTCAATGATTCTGTGATTAGCATGATTTCTTTAAAATAATTTTTTGGGGGGGAAAGAAACGCTGGCAGTGGTGAAGTACTATTTTTTTTATCATTCCCCTTAAAAATACTCAGTGAATTATTTAAATAAACGTTTGTAGTGCGGCCTAACTTGTTTTTGTCATGTGACAGACGTGTGTGTGTATATATATATATATTATATATATTCTGTAAGATAAGGTGCTAGGGAAGTGTATTTTCTTTCCCTAACGGTTACAAACCCTTTTTTGTTGAAAACTCTATAACATAGACAAAAATATTAGTCTTCTATTAACTTATCACGTATTTTAAGCTAATTTAAAAACAAGATATAATTATGAGGACGTCACTGAAACTATGAAAACAACCTTTATAAAAGCGTTTCTGCGTGAAATTAAATCCTTATGGTGGGAATAAAATGGAGGAACATCGCCATCTAAAGGCACAAAATCTACCACGCAGCGTGAGCAGTGTAGTTTGATCCCTGATGTGAACCAATTCCAAATTACACATATGGAAAACATCTCATTCTCCCTTTCTTTCTAATAATGCTAGAGTCATCATAAAACAGCTGCAGCCAGACACATATTTTATAATAACACCTTTTAATGCAAAAACAATAAAAATGATCCAGTATTGTATTTAGTTCTATACAATAAAATTACTAAAATGTAGCTAATCCATTTGAAAATAAAACAATATTTTTTTGTTATGTGTTAACTGACACATCCTGGTTGTTCCAGGCTGCCTTTGTGAACAGAGACAAGTGACTCGGCCTCCTGAACAAGGATTTTCTGTATAGTTGTGCGTGTATGTATATATATGTGTGTGTGTGTGTGTGTGTGTGTGTGTGTGTGTGTGTGTGTGTGTGTGTGTGTGTGTGTGTGTGTGTGTGTGGTGGGGGAGGTTCATCTGTTGGTAAACGTCTTGTTTCTGTACAGGTGCGTTGTAGAGCCGTGTGCAGTAATAATGTCCATGTGCAATCATTTCAAAATCTTGCCGTCCAGTTACATTGCATACTTCTGAGTCCATTCCCTTGCCAGTCTGTTATACCTAAAACACAGGAATAGTCATCTTCATCCATAACAAAAGCACTCAGCTGATATTAAAATGAGTATTCATGAAGTGCCAGCTTTACAGCTGAAAATTGAGTAATTTGGTACTTAAACATTTTACGTATTGTTTGATAGTAATAAAAGAAGAAAGTGTAGAAAAGATATGAAAATGTTGTATGGTTGAACCACACAGAAGAAGATGGTTCATGCAGATGTAGTTATTTTAGCAATAAAAACAGTGAAAGAGAGAGAGCCATACACACAAGGTTACTTACTTATCTTTGTCAGATTTGTAGATGTGTGCAATATCTGGAACTAAAGGGTCATCTGGATTTGGGTCACAAAGTAGTGAGCATATGGATAATAAAACTGGGAAAACAACAACAGAAAACAGCAGAGTCGTTTAAGTCGTGTTGATAAAAGTAATGTGAATACTGCTCATATTTTATGAAATAGTCACTTTATATGCTGAATCCCTTGTAAGGATACATTTATATTCTTTGCGAGGGCAAACTTTCCAATATAAATTCATGTTCCAGTTATACTTACTGTTGACACCTTTTCCAGGTTAAATAAACATTATTACTTACAGTTTACATTATTACTTACAGTTTCAAAAATGTAATTTTTGTTTTATATTTCATAATGTTTGTAATTAATGTTCTTTTTATTAAAACCAAGTATATTTCTCATCAAGTTAGTGCCTTATAAGCATTTTTACATCTTTTTCAAAATAATAACTATAAGAATGCAGTGACAGGCCAAGTATGGTAACCCATACTCGTAATTTGTCCTCGGCATTTAACCCATCTAAAATAGTGCACACACATTAGGAGTAGTGAGCAAATAGCCATTACACCAAAAAAGAAGTAATATGGCTGAACTTACTCCCAGATGCGTTTTTGGAGCCAGCATACCTTGAGTAAGCCAGGTTTGTGTTAAAGCTGCAGTCGGCAAGTCTGGCAGATTTAGTGGACTTAAAGTCCCTGTAAAGTCAAAATTAAGTATGTGTTTTGAGTTTGTCACACCACAGAAAAATTTGTTATTAGTCACCCAGCCAAATTTGAATGATAAAAAAAGCCAGCAAGTACATAAAATAAGCTATCAAAATCTTGAAAAAATGAGCAGTAATCTCTGCTCTCAAACGCTGGGGGCGTGTCCACTGGCTGCGCTGAATCCACGCCCACTCGCGGGAAAGCTGCCGTCCACCATAGACTATGCCGTCCACACTCAACTCTACAGCCGGAATGGATGCTCGCACGGTGGGCACGCACTGCCGATGATGGCACCAGTTGTCGGCGCGACGGGAGGATGAAGGCTGAGGCGGGAGTCGGTTCGGCCCCATTCACCAGTAACAGCGGATTATCAGTGAATCCCAGACAGTTATCTCCGACAAAAGTTTATAAAACTATCCCATGTAAAATGATCACTTACAGAGGCGGGTTTTGGCGGTGATCCTCAGCTCTCCATCAAGGTGGCTCTTCACTAAATTAATCCACTTCTTCTTGATGTAATCGTTTTTCGGAAATTTAAATAAGGACACCGATCTGTTTTGTACGTGATCCGGTGATCACATCCAGGTAGTACGCATTTCCGCGACGAAGGCATAGCTAGCTAGCAATCTGTAGGCTGTGTTACTAATAGTACTGACAGTAACTCGCGATTGAGCGCAAACTGATGTGAATGTGCTCTATAATTGTTAGGAGCGGCCAGCCTCAGCGGCTCCCGTGCGTCATCAAGTAGGGGCGTGTCCAGGAGCTCAAGGGCTCCAGTGCGTCATCGAGCCCTGTTTTAGCCCCGCCCAGAAAATAGCAATGGTGAAAAACTGTTTAAAGGGCATATTGCAGGTTAGAGGACCCAACGAATCAATGTATAGAAAAACAATGTAGTAATTAGATTTTCTTTAAAATATACTTATAAATACGTTACATTGGCTTCTGGAGTCGTTTTTGTGAGAGAATTTTACTTCCGCGTCTGAAAATGGGCGTGACGGGCGTGACGTAACGGGCGGGAGAGCGGTCGATTCAAACCATTCAAACAACAGGAAAACAATGGATCGCAATGACATTTCGGACTTACTCCTATGACAGACCACGGACGACAGCCTTACAATTATGAGCCTGCTATGCTGCCGAGAGAGCAGGGACAGGCCAGGATTAATGTTAGACAGAACAACGGTCAGAGGACACACACATTATTGTAAAAGTATTATTATAAAAAAAACTTGTGTGGAGTGAGTGTGCGCAGCCGCAGTTTATTGCATCACTTAATCGCGTGTATTTTTGATTAGCCTAGCTGTCAGATACTGAGTAAACATTAAAAGAACAGGCCTATTCAATCTTCCCTGGATGTTTTTTTAAGAAGAAATTAAATAATAGCAATCAGGAGAATGGAAGCAGCAATAAAAAAATGAGGACTGTAGTGCTGTCGGTAAAACATTATACCACTGCAATAAAAACTGCACTGCAACAAAAAGGTAAGGCACATGTGTTTTTATATTTAATGCTGTTCACTGTGAGTTTTAATTAATAGTGTAATAGAGTTAATAGTGCATCGTTCATTCTGTTTGGTAAAATGTGAGGTCAATATCGATTATTACCATCGTATCAGTTAATAGCAAAGCTATTATTGGTCATCTGGGAGTATTGGATTTTACCAATAACAGAATAAACTATATAAGCTTTGATCAGGCGCGTATGTCATGCTCATTAATATCCGTCCAGACTAACGTTACGTGATATAACTTAGCTCATCGAGAGACAGATAGATATTTTTATTCCTGATATACACGTTTTTGTTCCTCCGATCTGGTGTACGCTACACACGATCGCGTTTTTGGAAGCCGATGCGGAAGAGAAATCCAGTCTCTACAGCTGCACAAACCGCACACAGGCACATAGACAGCACAGCACCGTCCCTTTTCTTGTTAGGAAACCTGACTCGATGTCCTGACAGGCCGGAGTTTTTGCAACCTCCACAAACACAATAATTTACCATGATGACGATGATAAATTAAAATATAAAAACTACCGAAAACACTGATTCACGACCGCTCTTACTGACTTTTTTTTTTTTAATTCGATGCCACAAGAACAAGAGGTTTTACATATTCACAATATCACATTAACATTAGCTGCCAGGAAATAAAAAATACAAAAAAAGTTTTACATAAAATCCTGTGCTTTCAAAGCATTACATGTTTTCATTGCTTTTTTGTTTTTAGTTTGTTTGTTCCAAAAGATGTACATAATGTGAAGTCATTTATAAAACGTGAAAAAAGCCCAATTCTTTTTATGTATATGGTATTTTCCTAATAAAACAAATAACTGTATAATATGTTGTTCTTTACATTCCAAATTGTCATTCTGAGTATAAAAAAGCAAATTTACCCGCTCTACTGAATACAAACCTATCTGCGCTGCTGAGGCTCCCTCCCTCTGGTGACGTAAAATGACGCGATGTTGAAAAAAAAAACGGTTTTTACGAGCAGTCAAAGAAACGCTCACTTTATCTACTAAATGTGTGCCCTTATGTCGTTTTAAAACATTTTAAATCCTGCATTACCTTTTCATATGGTATTTTCATTCAAGGTCATATATTAATTTAGATTTTTTTTTTTACCTGCAATATGCTCTTTAACGGTCTAACTCCACAATTCAGTACTTCACAGTTCACAGTCTTTGTAATTTAAAGTTACAAAGGACTTTAAAGTTACAAAGGACTTTGGGACTTTAAAGTCCCTGTAAAGTCAAAATTAAGTATGTGTTCTGAGGTTGTCACACCACAGAAAAATGTGTTATTAGCCACCCAGCCAAATTTGAATGATTAAAAAAAGCCGGCAAGTACATAAAATAAGCTATCAAAATCTTGAAAAAATGCAGTAGCACCTCAATGCAGTACATGAGATCCACGGGGAGGAGTCGGATCAAGATCCAAGGGGTGGAGATGGGTAGGATTAGGGGTGGGTTTAGGGATCAGGGGGCGGAGATGGGTAGGTTTAGGTATATGTAAGGTGGGAGGAGTTGGATCTGGATCCGACTCCTCCCCGTGGATTTCATGTTCTGCAGTGAGAACCATCTCAAAAAATGAGCAGTGTTCTCTGCTCTCAAACGCTGGGGGCGTGTCCGCTGGCTGCGCTGAAACCACGCCCACTCGCGGGAAAGCTGCCGACGCTGATATTAGGTGATACTGCTTTCGGGACGGGAGCATGAAGGCCGAGGCGGGAGATAGTCGGTTCGGCCCCATTCACCAGTAACAGCGGATTATCAGTGAATCCCAGTTGTCTACGACGAAAGTTTATAAAACTATCCCGTGTAAAATGATCGCTACAGAGGCGGGTGTTGGCGCGGTGATCCTCAGCTCTACATCAAGGTCTTCAAATAAATTAATCCACCTCTTCTTGATGTGATCGTTTTTAGGAAATTTAAATAAAGACACCGATCTGTTTTGTACATGATCGCATCCAGGTAGTAGCCTACGCATTTCCGTGTCGAAGGCATAGCTAGCTGCAAACTGTAGGCTGTAGTAACTAATAGTATTGACAGTAACTCACGATTGAGCGGCGAACTGTTAGGGAAGTGGCCAGCCTTAGTGCGTCATCAAGTAGGGGCGTGTCCACGAGCTCAGGGGCTCCAGTGCGTCATCGAGCCCCGTTTTAGCCCCGCCCAAAAAATCCGGAAAATATCAATGGTGAAAAACTGTTTAACGGTCTAACTCCACAATTCAGTACTTCACAGTTCACAGTCTTTGTAATATGTTTTAGCAATACATTTCTAACATTTATAATGGGTTTAGAATTTTTTTTAGAATTGCCTTTACAGGGACTTTAAGCAAAATTTTGAATGTTTACAACTCTCATGCCCCTCCCCCACTATCAACGGATACCCTCCCACCGAGTTCGTGCTCGTCAGTGCGTGTGCACCAGGTTATCTGTGAACGCGCCCGTCTCATCAGCATCCATCAACACCATGGAGTATTTGCAGGTATGCTGCCCTGGCTAATCCTAACGTCATTTATACTCTAAATGAGCTTACTTGATTTGTTAGTGTTTTGAAAGCGAGATACATCCGCCATCACTCTTTGTTACTGCGCGAACTTCAGGCGTGTGCATGTGATTGTAACGTGCGTGAGGGGTGGCGTGTGCCCGATCTGTGATTGACAGTCAGATCTCACACCCCCCTGCGCTGATTGGACCCAATGATCCGGGAGCTGTGGATTTTTGCAAAACAAATAACACGTTCCAGGTGGAGTTAGAAGCTCGGGTTTTTTTTCTAAAACCACTTTATTTATGTTGTTCTGTCGGATTATAGTGTCGATTTCACTGAATATGATCAAAAATTTTTTGCCGACGGCAGCTTTAATCAACCGGTAGTTGGGATTACTAGAACGCTACGGGCAGGTTAGTTTGATAAGGGTCGGAGCTAAACTCTGCAGGAAAGTGTATCTTGAGGGCCAGAGTTGCCCAGCCCTGATGTAGATGATTTCAAATTGGACAGGTTTATGATGAAAAGACCATCCAGGTTGGATAAGAGTGTTCTCTAACCTTTGGATACCGTGAGGGCAGGTGACCACTGGGAGCGCAGAATGTCCAAACAGATGCTTCCATTACTGTTGATATTTGGGTGGTAAATTTTTGTTGTGAAGGCAAGCTGTCAGAGAAAAATAATGTCAAATTTTTAAGAACAAATAATCTATGGATGAGGTAAGAACAGATGTAATTCTCACCTTTGGTGGTTTAAAGGGATAATCAGTCGGGAAATGGATTGTGAGGAAGAAAACCCCTCCTTGATATGGACTATCACCCTAGGTGGGAGATAAAGAAAGAGTTTGTGTATGACCGAAGCTAATTCCTTTTCTTATTGAACCAATTACTAATTCCACAAAATAAACATTGCCCTGAAATTATTCATGTGTACTTACTGGGCCCATTATTGTCGCCTGCCAGTGAAACACTGAAAGAGCAAATAAAATATATTGAGAAGACTGTCCTGTCAAAGAATTGAAGGCCATAATTGAGTATGTTGTTGGTGGAGACACTTACAGTCCTCTCCGAGTGGTCCGGCTGAGCACTGCGAGGGTGGATCCCGTTGCAAGTCCTGTAGCTCCTACAAATACAGTAGAAATGGACGAGAAAATCTATATGCGTCAAAAACAGATTTAAGAAGCAAGGTTTCAATTCAAACAAGGATAAAGGTTTACGTGCATATTTCTGACAGTTTAAAGTGAAATCAAGTTTTGATATATTCATATTAACATTCGCAAGCTCCAAACCTACTCTTATAAATGCAAGGCTTTAGAAATTATTTTTAGTATCATTTTCTTTAGCTTTGGTTTTTAATTATTTCTATTTAGCTTTAATTTATCTTTATTTCTGCTTTAGTTTTAGTACATTTTTATACAACATATATATATACATACATACATACATACATACACACTCACATTATATAATGTCGTCAAGACTTTCAGATTACATTTATTTTAAATATAACATATGTTTTATTGCTATATTATTATAACGTAACATTATATTTTACATATTTATGTTTTTAATGTACTCACTGTCTAAAATGACTCTTCTTTCTATTTAAATATGGCTAACCTTGTTTAACTACAGCTGCTTAAAACATCCCTCGTCGATGGCATAATTATCACATTTATAATTTAATATCTTCTGATGTCCTAAGACTTGAGTTCGCTTTGTTTTCGACATAAAGATCTTTTCATCTGGCCGAAAAAATAAATTCTTCTGATCTTCCGACTTTACATAGTAATGTGGACAGAGAGATAGTTCACTGTATCTGTCGTGTGTAGATCTCTTGGATAGCCTTAAACCTAGTCTACTTTTAAGACATTTATTCTATTAAGAAATACAAATATTACCTTCTGAATCCTTTTCAAAGCCATCAGATCTCCGCTTCTTTTCTCCGCCTGAGGATGTGAAGAGTACAATAATAAGAGAGCGGACATGAGGGGAGTTTAATTCAAAATAAAAGTCCCTGTAACCTGTTATGACGAGGGAGGGTAAAGTGAAAATCTTCCCATAATAACTGCTGGTCTATGATCAGTTTTTTCCATAATAATAGCATATAAGCGATGCAGATTTGGCAGACGATCCGGTGCGTATCTGTGTTTGCGCTCTGGAGAATGTCAAAGGTTTATTTACAATGTGTTCTGTTGATTTCTTGAACGCAAAGGCTAATCAAAAGTGTTTAAATTAGCACTGAACAAAAACTCAGGCGTTCTCAGCAATGAGTGGATTCTGAGGTCTGCACACAAATGCTCTCATTATTACAAAATAAATAAATAAAATAAATAAATAAAAATAGCTGTGTCCTGTTATTCAATGTTACCGAGACCGCTAGAAAAGAAGTAGTAGTAGTGCTACTTAGTAGGCGGGTGATACGAAATATAAATAGGAGAGAATAATAAGCACGATTTTGTGTTTTTTTTAGGAGTTAGTAATAAGGTAAATAATGTAACCCGTCTTGATACCATTACCATACCTGTAGTGATGGGAAAAACAATTTGAGTAGGGGGAGGCTGCAGACCTGGAGCCGGCAGATATACGCCCCTGGCAGTTTTACGACCCTGTTGTTCCTGATGCGTCCAGTAGAGGGATATACTGCGAAATAACATCATTAAATCGACGCTTAATAACCCGTCCATAGACTTGACAATTTTGTGTTTTTTGTTAATTTAAATATAAACGTTATAGTGTAGATCTGCACGGATTAAATTATCTGTTTAACAAAAAAACAAGGGGGTAGGGTAAACGGACATCAAAAGAGATTGAATTAGGGTACACAAATCAATGCAATATTACATTTTGTCAATATAAAAACATGCAAGGTTCTTTACAACAGACTCAATGATATTATTTGTTTTATAAACCTTAGTTTAAAGGTTCTGACATTTTCTTAAAGGAAGAAAAAAATGAACTTTATATCAGAGGAGAATATTCTAGAATCAGGATTACTTTGAATGGTTCTGTCTTTATGAAGATGAAACTTGCCCAGAAGACAAAGTAATAATACCGTATAATCAAGTTTAACATAGTTAGAATTAAAATCGGACAAAAATATATTCTGTCATTTGTATGTTAAATAATCTGCTAAAGTTATTGTTTTTTAGCAATGATGCAACATTTATTATTTATAAACGATTAGCTCGATAGAGCTAGGGTAGGTATATCAATTCATTTATATATCAATGGATGGGTCTATAATGTATTTTGACAGGTTTCTGTTCTATCTGGCTTAAACTTAGCTAACCACGTGTAGGTTTAGATTCCCCTATCTTCTCTACTCAATTTAAAATTAATTTTAATTTTAATTTTCTTTTGTTGCCTGTCTTTAGCTTGGCCTCTTCTGGTAAGACTCTGTTTACTCCTTGCATTAAAACATACTCCACATGGTTTATAGAGCAATATTACAGTAGATAATGGAAATATGTGAATTTTTTTTACAGTCTATGGTGTGAACACACAAAAGACACATTTATAATAGGTATGTAAATCTCTCTCTCTCTCTCTCTCTCTCTCTCTCTCTCTCTCTCTCTCTCTCTCTCTCTCTCTCTCTCTCTAAGTAAAGAGTTAAACTGCACACTCACTCAAATACGTTAAAACACATTAAAAACTTCCCCATATGGTTTGAATGTAGATTCTGGTTTGAGTTGTTTCTTATAAATGAGATGATCTGATTATCTCATTTATATCTTAATATACATTTTTTCTTAAAATAGCTTACTGATCTGGACTCAAATGTAGGGTATGTGCACTTAATGTGGGTTTTATCATACTCTGTCTTTACCAAGTTCTCTTTAAAGGTGTGTTTGCTTTAGCTACTTAAGGAAATACACACACACACACACACACACACACACACACACACACACACATGTTGTGTTTTCATGTTTTATGGGGACTTTCCATAGACATAATGACTTTTATACTGTACAGACTGTATATTCTATTCCCTTACACTAACCCTATCCCTAAATCTACCCATCACAGGAAACATTCTGCATTTTTACATTTACAAACAACATCACTTAGTATGATTTATAAGCTGATTTCCTCATGGGGACCAAAAAATGTCCCCACACGAACAAGGATTTCGGATATTGCCATCCTTGTGGGGACATTTTGTCCTCATAACGTAGGGTTTACCAGGCCACACATACACACACACACACACAGGGACAAGGTCAAATTCACCATGGATGTCCTTTTTAACTTTTTTAATGTTTCATTTTTTAATGTTTCATCAGTGAGCAGGAGCAGTTAAAGAAAAAAAAACAGTTAAAGAAGAGTGGCAAACCATAGGGGAGTATTTTTTAAATATTAAATATTATTAATAATATTAATTTTAAATATTTTTTTGTGAACAACAATATTGTCTATATCTTCTAAATGGCCCATGGAATTTTAGAAAAGGGATAGATTGTGTTTGTCTTCATAAAATGCTGTGTAGGACACTGTTTTGTAGCTGTATGATGACCAATAGAATAGTACAGCAGATATTTCATCGAGGATCCATATTATTACACGGTACTGCATGTCTAATGGGCTAAATATGGTTAATATCTAAATGTGACTTTATATAAATTCACAAAAACATATTTCACTCAGTCTCCTGTATATAAAAACCTACGGTGAATTGGCCTTTAACTGCAGTAGGTCATAGCATCACCTGTCATAACACATAGTTGAATGGAAATATGTGAATTTATTTTACAGTCTATGGTGTGAACACACAAAAGACACATTTATAATAGGTATGTAAATCTCCAACTATGTGTATTTTTAATTTTTCAATTCACAAAAACAAATAGTCTTCTGTAGGTTGAGTGAAGAGAGTGAAGCCCAACTGAATATCTACAGAAAATTTAATCCGTGGAGATCTACACTGTAACGTTTATATTTAAATTAACAAAAAACACAAAATTGTCAAGTCTATGGACGGGTTATTAATGTGTAAGCGTCGATTTAATTATGTTATTTCGCAGTATATCCCTCTACTGGACGCATCAGGAACAACAGGGTCCTAAAACTGCCGGGGCGTAAAACTGCCAGGGGCGTATACACAAGTTTATGAGCCGTTTCCGCTCTACATCCTAAACTCCTCCCGTCGATGCAACCCACTTCCGTTCCGGCGGTCTGGGTTTGTTTTGCTAGCTAGCTTCGACAAAGCGCTGATATCGCAGTGACATAACAATTACAACATGAAGAAAGGTGGTTCGGGAACGATGTGTGTGATAGTTGGTTGTAAACACTCGAGAAAGCACCTGAACGAGTGGTTAGATAGAGAGTTCTACGACCGCAAACCAGCTACGAAGAGGTCCATGCGCTCCATTGTTTACACACAAACACACTCACACAGTATCGCGCCCGCGCCTCTCTCTCACACACAGTTCGATCGCCTAATTATTATCATCATGGCTCACACACACACACACACACACACACACACTTTGCACTCTAGCTAAGAAGCCTATGATATAGTTCGGATCGTCAGGAGGACATTCACTGACAGCGCGTTCTCTTTTGTCTTGTCGCGCATGAGTGGTTAAAGCATTTGCGTGAATAAGAGAATGGTCATAACCCTAGCAAAAGGATGACAGAAAGAACAGATGTTGCGTTTGCATTAAATATTTTAACACGTTAAAGCTGGACAAAAATGAATCGGGAAAATATTTTTCTCACGGCCGCACGCCGGAGATCCGGCACGGTGGCGAAAAGTGATTGCATTATTTATTGCAATAAGTAGAGGCTTCAATCGTTTTGTTGTAAGTAGAATAGGCTACTGCATTTTAAGGGGTTAGTTTCGACATTTAAAGGTATTTTAACCGGTAAAATGGTTGGTTGGTACACAGCAGGTAAAACAATGCAGAGTCATAAGGATAATTGCAAAAGAGATCATGTCTTTATTTATAGCTCAGCAGTAAGTCATGTTATAGGTTACAGTCCGTTTTCCAAATACAAACACGTATTCCATCCGCAACAACATGCTTCTTTTATTTCCTATAATCATGTAAATGTCTTCCCTGATTAAGCTATAAACTGCAAACACTTATTTAGCCACAATTGTTGTTATTATGTTAAAAGAAACATTAAAGTAACACACAGATACATTTGCTATTACCACGGACATAAACTGATAGTTATTTGCACGTTATGTCTGTTTTATCTAGCTGTGTATGACATGACACAACCGACTTTGTTGCTGTGCAGATATTGATATGCCTCGACGGCTTTCAGATTGTCCAATTGCTTTTCCATCTATTGCCATGGATTGCACGAAGTAGGAGCAAATCTCGCTGTACGTTATGCTGGGCCACGTCGTCATGTTAGTGTTCTGCACTGAATTCGGGTGGGGGATAGTAACGCCATCTCCAGTCGTGGAACCGTCGCTGTGTACACCGGCAGACGCTGTGTGCAAACCTCTTCCGGCGGAAATGAAGTGCATTTAAGTAGAGTTATGGCGGCGCCCATGATTTGGCGCGTAAACTTGTGTATATCTGCCGGCTCCAGGTCTGCAGCCTCCAATGATTCACTGTTACAAGCTGGTGACCCCTGCTGGTCAGAACAGTGTAAATGTAACAAAACTCAGGCCAAACATGCATAAAACACCTTTTACAAACCCATTGCAAATGTTTGAATGTAAAATATATAAAATGCAATCAACTAATCATCTAATAAGATTAAATAGCAAGTGTCTGTATAAGATGTGTTCTTTGATCAGTTTTTGATTGTTACATGGATGGCTCTAATATCAGGCCAATATAAGAGATTAACTTCAATTATTCCTTTAAGTATTAATGTCTAATTAAACCGTATACAAATGTATCGAACTGATCAGAGATCAGGTAAAAACCATAGACGGTTCGACGGTTAAATGGTTCGAAACTGGGGGGGGGGGGCGGTCTCAGTACATCCGCACGATTCATTCCCACAGCCTACACAGTCTATGGTTCACAGAGATCATCGCCCCCCAGCGG